CCATTATGAGCTCTTCAATGTTCTTTATTTCTCAGATGTGATTTTTGTTATTCTTTAAGTTGCTTGAGTCTTCTTGATAATACAGTATCTTTCTTAGATAAGATTGAACTGCAGTCTACTGTAGACCTGTTCAAGCCATACTGCCCAGCAACAACAGACATCAGACATCTGCCCACTTTCTACCTGTGATATTATTCTCTCACCTTTCGAAAATAAAAACCAACACAAAACTTAACGAGTGCCTGCCTGACAGTCTCGCAAATACTATAAAAAAATTTTTTCTGTCAGAAAAATAAATGGCTGGAATTACAAGGGAGAGTTTCAAAGTTCAGAGGAATACAATTCAATCAGTATATACTGGGTTGAGTGTCAATGGTGACGTCTCCCACGCTCCAAAAAGTTTTGAATTCTTGTCTAACGACAAGGGGAGACCAATCGGTATTCATTATTTTCCGTTGCTTCTTCTTGTGTTTGTTCTGTGAGGTGTTCGTTGTCCGAACATAAAAATCTTTCACAAAAGTGTTCATTATCTGATTTGTTCGTTAACCAATCACCCACTGTATTTTTCTTTTTCTTTTTTTTTCTGACTTTTAATTTTGCAAATAGAAATAAATTTGATGTAAAATTAAAAATTTTTTAAATATAGTATCAATTATTTTTTTTGTTTAAAATTAAATGTCTTTTGATTTTATAATTGTAGTTATTGTTTTAATGATCCTTTTAATTGATGGGAATTTTATATAAAAACAATTATAACTATAACTTACACAAAAGTTTTAGTTTAATTTGCATTAAAAATATATTCAATTATATTATAATTAGTATAATTAGGAATGTTTTAATATGAATTTTCTCTTGAGAGTAAAATAATAGGATTTTATATATAATTTTAAATATTAAAAAGAACTATTTTTTAAAATTTGTTTTCTTATTCATATTTAAACATTATCATTAAAGATTGTTATTTATGTAAAGTATCAGGTACTGTATTTGTTGATAATTGTTGCTAGGCAAGCAAATTATTTCATGGATAATTTATTGTTGTTTATTAAATACAATGAAAGTGTTTTATTTCAAAATTGTTTTCTTACTTTAAATTAATTATAATTTTATATTTATTCATAAAACAGTTAGGATTGATATAATTTTAATCAATCTTGATTGTAGACATGATATGTAATAAGGTAAATATTATATTAAGGTTTTTGGGATATAATACTTAAAATAATCAAACACCTTAGTATTTCCAGCAATGAAGTATTTAACAAAACAAAAGCATTTTCGACTATATTTAATAGTCTTCTTCAGTTAAGCCACTTTAAAACGCTATTTTACGTTCGTTTTTGTTTTTAAGTGGCTTAACTGAAGAAGACTATTAAATATAGTTGAAAACGTTTTTATTTTATTAAATACTTCGTTGCTGGAAATACTAAGGTATTTGATTATTTTAAGTATAATACTTAAAGAAATTCTATCCAAAAAACTGATTTTAAATTTAACTTAATAAAATTACTTGTGTTATTTCTAAATACATATAATTTTAATTTTAAAATAATTAATATTTTTGTCATTTCTTTTTTATTTTGTAATAATTTCATCTGTAATTATATAAAGTAATAAGGTTTGTAAATGATCAATAATGTTATAAAACAAATTATTGTAGTAAAAGTGTTTGGTCATTTTGCTTGTTTGAATGTTTTATTTACCATATCATCCAATTAATACTACTACATTAATTGGATGATATCAATCAATATATTAATATTGAATCATGAACTTCAAAGAAATTGTAACAATTATATTTAAGTTTCAACATTTTGTATTGTTTTTTTGAAACTATAATTCTGTGATATTGATTTTGTATATTTGTAAACTTTTTTTATACATATTAAAAATTATACAGTTTAATTAAATTGTATATTTAATCATTTGGATTTTGTTATTAACCTTTTAAAACCTGCATCCTTTAGAGGTTTAGTTGAAATGGAATCCTCTTGTTTCATTTCATTCAGAATAAAGTTTTTACTTTTTTGACATTTTTTCATGACTTCATAATAATCCTGGGGACTAACAGTAAATTATATTTTCTTAATGCCATTTCTAAAACTCTGCAATCTCTATCATTCAGTAGAAATCAATGCCCTGATAACAATAATCTATGATTAATGACATCTACCTTATATTTGGCAGATTAACATGGTTAAATGTTGTCCAAAGCTAATTTTATATTCCTATTTTGCCCTGCACACATATTGCTGTAATCTATCATTTGTTTTTCATTTCTAAGATATTTTAATGTTTCAGAATACATGATGTTACTACTTCCTATGCACCTGTAGATGCAACAGTTTCATCCCAGAGATATATGTAAACATTATCATCATGGAAATTATGAAAAACCAGATGTAAAACATACATACTATGCTTATAATATGCACTGAAGTAGTCAATTTTGTGTAAGGCAGTATTTTTTGAAAGTCGAAAGAAAAAGCAAAATAGTGATCTGGATTATGTAATGTTAGATCTTGGTCTTGTTTAATGATTTTTTAGCAGTTCTGCTCATCTAAAATAAATATCATGTTCTTCCATAAGTTTTGCCTCCTCTTCTTCACCATTATTTGATGCCTTAACTTTAATGTTTAATAGATCGCATTTTTGGCATGTATCTTTCCACAGCTGGTGGAAATGTAAATTTAAAATCATCTTTAAAAATTTTTTCTATAAGACCACCAATTAACAGTGCCTGTTTTATTTTCTTTACATTCAAACAATTATTAAGTAAAAATTTTTATAATTGTACATAGAAGTCCAGGATCATTTTGACAAATTTCATTAATGAAAAATTAATGAAATTAGTCAAATTAGTGCCCAAAATCCACCAGAGGACTCTCAGCTGAAATGCAATTATATAACATGAATGCTGTCATGAAGAATTTTAACAATTTTTTAATGTATAGATGTCGTAACCTACAGAAAAGGGTCGACGTCGAGATCATTTTTAATTTTGTAAGCTTTTTGATTGTGTTCATTGGTTATTTGTGGAAGTGTTTGCTTCATGTCACCAGCTTTTTTGTGGTTCCTGGACTGGAATAAAAGGATATTAATAAGGAAAAAAGACTCAAAATTTATTTTGTATAGTTTTAATTTTTCATTAATAAGCATTTTTATATTCAGATTAGGATGTAAGAATTTTCTGTTAGGATTATGATAGGTGTTAGGATTAGTGGAGGTAGGAAACAGCACTATCAATGCATTATTGTTGTAAAATTATGTTACATTTAATAGATTTATTATTGTAATTATTGACTAATAAAATTTTACTCCATGATATACTGTATATTAGTTTGAAACTTGTCAATGTCAAAGTGGACTTAGGCCACTTTTAAAATAAACAGCTCATATATAAAATCTGTAACTTTTTTTAAGTATCTTATGACAAATTTTAGGCAAACTGAAAATAACTATTTATTTATTAAATGTTATGTAAATTAAGGTTTCTTAAATACTGTAAAACTTATTTCTACACTGCAGTCTTTAGTTTTAATTTCAATTGCAAAATAACAAAGTAATGCTGCAGGAGTGTTGATGGAGAAACTAGAGATATTTTCTTGGGCCTGAAGAAAATGGGCCCATGGTGGTGCCTACTCCTAGAAAATTGATGGTATTCTTACTAATAGAAATAAAATAAGACTGCTCTTTATTAATAAAGAAACATTCTGTATAATTCATTTGTTTAAAAAAAAAAATAGTCTAAAGGGGCCCACTTTACTCTGTCCCCATACAAGCAAGCTCTTGATGGTCAAAACAAAACATTATATGGTCATACTAGAGATATTACTTTAAACATCAGGATTATCATTAGGAATATGTGAGATCCGAAAGAGGGGAAGGAAATTTTAAAGAAAAATTAGCAAGAAAATAATATTTTAAACTTTGACAAAATTAGTCAGAAAACCGAGATTAGAAACTTTTGTTTTTAGAAAGGAAGTTGATTTCCTTTCCTACGGCCAACTCATGAAATGAGTCAAAAATGCGGCCTTTGCACACGTTACTTGGCTGTCAGAGAAGGCCGATATAAAAGGGGCATTTTTCCATCTTTTGGGGCAGTTTGTCGAAAGAAGTATTGCCACACGAATCACGAAAAGTCATTGAAAGAATTAGCCATATGATATAGACAGAGAATGTCATTAACGAGAGAACGCCATTCAGAGAGTCTGTCATATGATACAGTCATATGAAGAGTTATCCATACAAGAAATTGCCATAGAAAATAAAAGAAAAAGAATGTCCATAAGTAAGAACATTCTCATACATTGAAATATTCAAAAGAACTAGGAAGGTAATATAGTAACATTGAGATCGATGTAAACTCTCTCTCATGCATTAGATTTATATAGGATTGTTAGGTAATTTAGTTAATAGTGACTTAAGTTTAAGTATAATTTGTTATCCATTCATTTGTATATTCTTTAATATTTTTGGTTTATTAAATGTTTTAGTTTTTTTATAAATATGGCCTGTGTAATGATAGATATCCACACTTGTGCCTATTCAAGTTACTTGCGTTCCTCATACTCATAATTTGGTGATTACACGTGTTAATCCGCGTTTAAGAAAACTGATTAACTGGTGTCGGGAATCCTGATAAGGAAAAGGGTGATTATGCGATCATCTAATTTCGCTTTTAATTTTACTTCAAACTGTAAGTCCCTCCACACTCAATTTCTTTGGTAGGAAAGCCATTCTTTTAGACAATCTGAGGGCTACTCTCACTATTAGCTGCCGAATAAGTGATACACGAGTTATGCAAACTCCATATCCCCAGCTAGCCCCTCACAAATGTGTATGATAATATATGTATTGTAGATAAGTTTAGCTGCAAATTATAATTGTATATAATTCTTATGCTATAGAAATAATGTAAGTTACTAGGAAAGACTTTTTAAAAATTATTCATTATATGTTATTAGTGAAAATCACAGAACTGTTGATTTTTTCAGAATTATCAAGGTTTCCATCTGTACCTCCCTCGACACGAAGATTATTAGTTTTCATCAATCCTTTTGGAGGAACAGGAAAAGCATACCAGATATATCGAGAAAGAGTGGTTGCTCTTCTGGCAGAAAGTGATATTGAACATGATTTAATTATAACTGGTACCAATTTTTTTTCTTTTACTATTGATTATATTATCAAAAATCTTAATCATTATTTTTAATTTGATAGCCAGGGCAAATCATGCTAGAGATTTTGTGAACACTGCAGATCTTAGTCATTGGAGTGGTATTGTTGTCATTTCAGGAGATGGATTATTATTTGAAGTAAGTTTAATAACTTTTTGGTTTCATTAGTAAATCAAATTCTGAAACTGATTATATAAGACTGATTCTCAATTTATTTTAACACGTGGAACCTAAAGAATCTATCAAGGAATCCCTATTTCTCTGTAGCCTATCACCATCAAAGCTTAACTATAATTTCTGGTATTTTAACTTTAACAATATAAAGACTATTTCATTTATAGAATAAAAAAGTAAATCAAAAATAGAATGAAATTCAGCACTTGTTTGTTTTTAAAAAGCTTCTGGAATGAAGCAATGATGGTTTCTCCTGTGTGGAGTCAGTGACTGAATGATTAATGTTGAATGTCATATACACAAATTTGGGACCACCAACAAATTTTTCCACCATTATGTATTTTTATTTCAAGGAACTTAGTTTAAAAAACATTTATATAAGAAACAATTTTTAAATTTATAAAATACAGTGGTACCTTGGTACTCAAACTGCTTTGAATAAGTACTCAGTACAGTAGACCCTGCTATAACACGGTAGATATGTTCTGTGTTATATGAATTCCATGTTGTATGAATCACTTAAATACATGAGCCAATTTTAGCCCGGCACATGTGCAGTTTAGGGACTACAACTGTTTGAAAGATTTTTTCCATAAAATTAATTGATTCTAGACTAATTTGACTCAACATTTCCAAAACACGTATAATTTTTTGGGAATAATCCATATAAACTATGCTATAAACAAAAAATTGTAAGATTACTTACTGAGTGTGCACCGTTTAACAACACCATTGCTTAAGCTTGTTTTTGTCGCAGAGCGGCTCATCGAACGGCAGGTGTGTGTTTTCTGATAAGTTATTTTTCTGCGAAAAATTCGCTGAACTTTGGAGACGTTGTTAATAAAAATATAATTTTTATGGCCGTTGAATAATAAATGTTTTTTAGTAGGTCCAGTGCTCATTTAAACTCAACAGTTTGTGTAATATCCGCTATTAGTCCAGATTCGACCAATCCTGTCGTGGCACGAGTCGGCGATGACATTTTACCGTGTTATATGAGTCTCTTTTAGCATATTATACAAACACTATCATAATTTTTTCGCTGTGTTATATGGGGGGTCTACTGTATTCGAATACATTTGGGGAGAAATCACCTGCTACTGGACGGAATAAACACAACCTACTAAACTAAATTTTCAGTTAATAACAAATATTTTTATTTTAACTTTAATTTTGTCAATCATANAATATCTAAAATATGTGGAAAAAAATATATTTACTACAATTGTTTGCTTTGATTTTAATACTTCATTCAATCAAAAAGAAACTGGAATTATTTTTTTAAGCAGGTCATTTAATATTTTTCAAAATATTTCTCCCTGTAGTTTAAGGCAAGATCTCACTGCTTCACAAGATTTTTTATTCTCTTCTCATAAAAAATAGCTTGGCTGCTTGCAAACCCATTCTGTGACCTTCTTTCACACATCATCATTTGATTTAAAGGTACACCTGCCAAGTGTATCCTTCATTCGCTCAAAGATATGGTAGTCATAAGGCAACAAATCAGGTCTATGGTAGGTGTTTGAGGATCTATCATATCTTCTTTAAGATGCTTGAGTTGTGTTTGGCTACAAGGTCTAGCATTGTCTTGAAGAAAATTTATGCCTTTACTCAAAAGTCCTTTGGACTTGATGGCCTTGTACAGTTGATTTTCAAGATCTCTATGTAAGACTGCAAGGTGACCTTATCTTTCTTCAAGAAGTGGACAAGGGTGGACCTTGATAGTCAAAAAAGAATATCATAAACAAAAAACAATGTACCAGGAACCTGTTTCTGGTGTGCTTCTCGGTAAAACGAAGTGTTACAAACGTTTTCGAACTTGTAAGTTCTCTGGAACCTGTTTCCGAGAAGCACACCGGAAACAGGTTCCTGGTACATTGTTTTTTGTTTACTTTAACCCAGTGTAGTACATTGCCGATTTAAAGAATATCATGATGGCTTTGCCTGAAAACCAGTCATTCTGCTTTTCTGTTTCATGGGGATCTAGTATGTTTTCACTCCTTGGTTTACTGCTTATGTTGGGGCACATATTGTTTCATCTACAGTCAAATTCAGTCCAAGGTCTCTCCCTCATGACACTGCAGTTGTTGGAGGCACATTGCCATTTACTCTCCTTCATGGTACTCAGTGAGAAGTTTAAGCACTCCATTCAAAAAGTTGTGTTTTTGACAATGCATTCTTGTCATAAACAGATACCAATTGACAATGAATTTTACTGGGTTTAACTTTCTCTAATGTCAAAAATTCAATGACTGAATGCTGTCCTCTTTGTACAGGCTTACACTGGTGGACATAATTTTCTGCAATAGCAGTGCTCTCAATGTATGCAAAATATTAATAGCCAATGCTTCTAAATACCCACCAAATTTTGTTTTTTCTGTGTGAATGCTTTGTTTTTACAAAATAATTCCAGCATCTTTTTGACTAAACCAAGCATAAATAACCTTAAATTTAATATTGGATGGACTGTAGAATGTTTAAAACTTTGATTTTTTATACATCAAACATATTTTCGATAGTAGTTAATTTCAAAAATTGATACTTCTTTCAAGACTAATTGAAAAAAATAAAGACAGAATTTTATTTTTTAAATTTATCCACATAAATAGTTATTAACCATAGAAAATTTTAATTTGGTTTTGTTTAATTAAAAAGTATATATTTTATTAGCTAAGTTTAAATCAGAAGTTTTGTAGTTATCATGAACATTTTATTAATAAATTAACATTTCAGAAATTATAAAAATATTGATTTGTTTTATTGTTTCAAATATCTAAAATTTTTGAGCTTTATAAAAAATATAAACTAAATAAACTAATATAAACATTTATAAAGCTAATTAATATTTAAATATAAATATTTAATACAGTGGGTGATCGGTTCCAAGACTTTGTTCATTATCTGAATTGTTCGTTAACTGATGATCGATTTACTATAGGTTTTTATGGGAATTTGATTAATTTGTTGTGGAGACTCCAAAAAAATAAAAAATATATACTTTTTTATTTTTTGGATATTTTATTTTTATATTTATTTATTTATTATGTTTATTTATATGTAATAGTAAAAATACATATATATGCAGTCTTGCATTTTTATTATCATGTTTTTTCCATTTGTGGGGGTTAAAGAATCTGTCCAGTGTCAATTGTTTTTCTCTCTTCTTCAAGATTTTTCAGAAGTAATTAATAGCATTGTAATTGTAGATATCCCTAAGCCTATTAACCTCAACCTGGTTTTGATGCTATTCTAAGACCGTTGTTCTGACATCATCCCACTTCTTCAAAAAAAAATGTTTAATAGCAGATATTGACATTAATTCTCTTTTTCAGAAGAAAACATATCTCTCCGAGTTTCTTGGTGTTCTTCAGTCGTCAGATCAGTTTTGGGTTCCATTATGAGCTCTTCAATGTTCTTTATTTCTCAGATGTGATTTTTGTTATTCTTTAAGTTGCTTGAGTCTTCTTGATAATACAGTATCTTTCTTAGATAAGATTGAACTGCAGTCTACTGTAGACCTGTTCAAGCCATACTGCCCAGCAACAACAGACATCAGACATCTGCCCACTTTCTACCTGTGATATTATTCTCTCACCTTTCGAAAATAAAAACCAACACAAAACTTAACGAGTGCCTGCCTGACAGTCTCGCAAATACTATAAAAAAATTGTTTCTGTCAGAAAAATAAATGGCTGGAATTACAAGGGAGAGTTTCAAAGTTCAGAGGAATACAATTCAATCAGTATATACTGGGTTGAGTGTCAATGGTGACGTCTCCCACGCTCCAAAAAGTTTTGAATTCTTGTCTAACGACAAGGGGAGACCAATCGGTATTCATTATTTTCCGTTGCTTCTTCTTGTGTTTGTTCTGTGAGGTGTTCGTTGTCCGAACATAAAAATCTTTCACAAAAGTGTTCATTATCTGATTTGTTCGTTAACCAATCACCCACTGTATTTTTCTTTTTCTTTTTTTTTCTGACTTTTAATTTTGCAAATAGAAATAAATTTGATGTAAAATTAAAAATTTTTTAAATATAGTATCAATTATTTTTTTTGTTTAAAATTAAATGTCTTTTGATTTTATAATTGTAGTTATTGTTTTAATGATCCTTTTAATTGATGGGAATTTTATATAAAAACAATTATAACTATAACTTACACAAAAGTTTTAGTTTAATTTGCATTAAAAATATATTCAATTATATTATAATTAGTATAATTAGGAATGTTTTAATATGAATTTTCTCTTGAGAGTAAAATAATAGGATTTTATATATAATTTTAAATATTAAAAAGAACTATTTTTTAAAATTTGTTTTCTTATTCATATTTAAACATTATCATTAAAGATTGTTATTTATGTAAAGTATCAGGTACTGTATTTGTTGATAATTGTTGCTAGGCAAGCAAATTATTTCATGGATAATTTATTGTTGTTTATTAAATACAATGAAAGTGTTTTATTTCAAAATTGTTTTCTTACTTTAAATTAATTATAATTTTATATTTATTCATAAAACAGTTAGGATTGATATAATTTTAATCAATCTTGATTGTAGACATGATATGTAATAAGGTAAATATTATATTAAGGTTTTTGGGATATAATACTTAAAATAATCAAACACCTTAGTATTTCCAGCAATGAAGTATTTAACAAAACAAAAGCATTTTCGACTATATTTAATAGTCTTCTTCAGTTAAGCCACTTTAAAACGCTATTTTACGTTCGTTTTTGTTTTTAAGTGGCTTAACTGAAGAAGACTATTAAATATAGTTGAAAACGTTTTTATTTTATTAAATACTTCGTTGCTGGAAATACTAAGGTATTTGATTATTTTAAGTATAATACTTAAAGAAATTCTATCCAAAAAACTGATTTTAAATTTAACTTAATAAAATTACTTGTGTTATTTCTAAATACATATAATTTTAATTTTAAAATAATTAATATTTTTGTCATTTCTTTTTTATTTTGTAATAATTTCATCTGTAATTATATAAAGTAATAAGGTTTGTAAATGACCAANACATTAAATTGGCCAAAAAAATAATATCCTTGATCATACATGCAAACTGTTTAAAGAATAATTTCAATTTAAATGGTGCCAGATAACTTGCAGTATTAGTTGTCAGGATATAATATTCAACTTATTGAATCATATTTTTAAAGTACAGTAGACCCCCTATAACGCGGGTTCAAATAATGCGGATTCGTATATCGCGGCGAAAAATCGCGACCGTATTCGTATAAGGACGCTAAAAGAGTCTCCAATGTTTAACAAATTTTTCGCAGAAAAATAACTTATCAGTTATTTTTCTGCGAAAAATTCGCTGAACTTTGGAGACGTTAATAAAAATATAATTTTTATGGCCGTTGAATAATAAATGTTTTTTAGTAGGTCCAGTGCTCATTTAAACTCAACAGTTTGTGTAATATCCGCTATTAGTCCAGATTCGACCAATCCTGTCGTGGCACGAGTCGGCGATGACATTTTACCGTGTTATATGAGTCTCTTTTAGCATATTATACAAACACTATCATAATTTTTTCGCTGTGTTATATGGGGGGTCTACTGTATTCGAATACATTTGGGGAGAAATCACCTGCTACTGGACGGAATAAACACAACCTACTAAACTAAATTTTCAGTTAATAACAAATATTTTTATTTTAACTTTAATTTTGTCATCCATAAAAAAATTTTTTTGAGAAAAATTAAATTTTAGAGTTGTCTATCTTTGTCAGATAAAATTATATTTAATCTGACAAAGATAAAATATTTAATATTTTATATTTAATATAAAATTATATTATTAAGTGTGTCAATAATAAATGTTTATGACACATTAAAATCTATTAAATTCACGAGTTGTTATTCATCAATTCTTAACAATTTCTTCCTGCAGTTTTTCTCTGTGACAAGTTTTGATTGACCTTCCATTGTGAATCCTTTAGTTCAAAATTTCCAGAACATTTGACATGTTTGAAATTTAGGATTAAAATAAGCTTCTAAACAAAGAATATAATCTCACATTAGTAATAATGTGTTAAATTTTACAAATCTATAATATATAATTATATTACACATCTATAATAGATTTTAATGTGTCACAAACATTTATCTACTATATAAAGCTGAAAAACTGGGTTCTGTCACGGTGTACCAAAAATGACCACTAGGGACACCCCTAGCTGTTATTTAAATTAACAATAAATTCAGTATATAATATTTGATGTGGTTTTTTGCATTTTTGGCTGTGTTTTAGTAGGGTACACCATGAGAAAGTCTTTAGGTTCCACATGTTTTATATAAGACTGATAAAAATAAATTGAGAACCAGTTTCAGAAAAATGTTATTTTTATTTGTAATAGGAATTTATTATTTATACCATGGAATGACACTGCTGCTGCTAGAATGCCCACTAGGGGTGTCCTGGGCTACTAGAATATAAGGATTAGAAGTACAAGATGATCTAATAATCTTAATCTTTGTTCTTTGTTTTTTTTTTTTGCCCGGGCAATGCCGGGCTCATCTGCTGGTTAAATATACTATATATCTAATTAAATCACATATCTATATTAAGTAGGGATAGCTGTGAAAAGTAAGCAAAAACATTGTTTTGTAGGTTTTATTTCCTCAACACGAATTTGAGTTAACATAAATCTGATTCTTCATTCTGGTGATGATCACTTGTTTAGTTTTCATGACAATTATATATTTTTCCGATCTGCAAAATTATTTACAACATTAGTTTACCGTATACAATTAGAATACAGGGAAGGGTTCCTCAGAGGCTTGTCATGCATTCGCCGTCTTCTTCTAACTGTCAGGTCAATCCCAATTTCTTTCATTGGCTTCTGATGTTTCCGTTATAAGATCCAGCTGTAGGTGATTGCCTTCGCCTGCTTCTCCAAATGTGCTGAGAAGGAAAAGAGAGCTCTACCATCCACCCTTATTTCTTATATACCCACCCTGTTTCCCTGCTGGGTTTATTGCCCCTCATTGCCTAACGGGTGATGGAACATTCGGGAAACTTACAAACAAAAGGCTTTGTGTCCGATAATTGAATAATACCCAAAAATTGACAAGCGATTGTCACAGTTTAACCCAATAAAATTAATAGGCATATTTTATCACTCTGTATTGCTTATGGATATTTTTTGTTCTTTTATAATGATTTATGCATGCTAGGCTTATAAACTTGTGATAAAAGCATTTTAACTAGAATTTAAAAGTGTATTTTTGGGGGTTTGAACAGATTAATCTAATTTACATTACTCCTTATTGGAAAAATCTGTTCAGTACCTGAACAATTCAGCACAGCCTTCTAGAACAAATTAAGTTTGAGTACTGAGGAATTGTTAAAACCTTAAAACACTTACATCTACAAGGTATACTTTGAAATTTCATACTACAGACTATTTCATTTGACTTTTATTTGATTTACATTAAAAATACCATCAATATCAGTAAAATATTTTAATGAAAGTTATTTTTACATTATCTGAAAGAAATTTAAAATTTGGTATGAATTAAACATTCTATTGGTAATTTTAAAAAGGTTCAGTATGCTTGAAAATATCTTTATTTGAATAAAGATGAAAGTACTCAAAAATAATTTTTCATTTATATTTTCTATTATTCCAGAAGAATTACTGAGATTGTAATTTCTATATATGCATTAAATGTTTGAGATATTATATTCAATTTATAAAATTATATTTTATTCATGATAAAAATATTTAAAGTATTAATTATATAATTTAATTTTTAGTCAATTTTAATAGTATATATATTTATTAAATTCAGGTATTTAATGGTCTTATGGAGAGAGATGATTGGAAAAAAGCGATAAAAATTCCTGTTGGTATTATACCTGGAGGATCTGGAAATGGATTGGCAAAAGCAATCTCTCATGCTGTTGGGTGAGTTAAATATATTTATTGATTGCTGTTTTCTATAACTTTTGTTTTACAGTATAGTCTGAATAAAAATTTACATCAGGAATGCATATATTAGCACTAAAATAAAAATAAATCTGCATTTTTAACTCTTACTATTTAAAAGTTGTTATATTGAGCATCAAAACTATTTGCAGAACATCAAGTACATTAAGTGCAGTTGATTCTTGAATAATACAGGGTTACTTATAATGAAATAGAAATAGATATAGATAATGAAAAAAAAAATACAGTATACATGTATCTAAGTTGTAAAATTATTTTAAGAAAATATTTTGAATAATTTCCTTATCAATAAATCATTAATATCACAAAATTAATTATATTTTACAACAATATCTAGCTGGAAACTTGTCATTCTCAGTTAATATTACAAGAAACTGATAGTGTACTGCAAGGTGCTAGTTCAATAAAATTTTCTGGATTTCTCATTTATGTCAAAAGTTTTATTCAACTCTGATCACATCTAGAGCTTATTAATTAATTATCATTCTCAAAACATATTAAATTTTATTTATGTTAAATATGAAATTAAAAACTAAATAAAAGAAAAATTGACTAGCTTTCATTAAAGCAGACTTGTGGATTATCCGTGTCTCCATTACTGGTGATTAACCGAAATAATCGAGATTATACTGTATATTAATTTTTCACTTATATCAATAAAAATTTTACTTTAAACTGAAAATTATTAACAAGACCAAATTTCTTGTTTTTAAGAAGTAATCTTAAATTTTTATTTCAAAAAGAAGGAACAAACAATACAGATTTATTAATAAATTTACTTAACATAAAAACAAATCAATAAAATTCCAGAAAATTTTTTTTGAGCAGAAATGTATGTGTGCAATAATCTAAACACTATCAGAATCAAAAATATGATAAATTAAAACATTCTACAGAAATATAAAAACTATATTTCATAAATATTTTATCATCAGTAAGAAACGTTTTTAATTACTTATAAACTATCAATTTTTAAAGCTGTAATCATAAATTTCTCAATAAATTTATTATTACTTATAATTAAAACATCTGCATTTATAAAGTTTTCTTGTAATTTGTTTACCTACAAATTTTCTACTTCAAAATTTGANCTAAATTCCTATGTAATGTTGTGATATACTTGTTACTATGAAAAGCCATTTTTTTAAAAAAATAGAAAAACTATTTTTTGAAATTTACTACATATATCATGCATATTGGTACTTAGAATTTGTATTCAGTGAACAAAACTTTATACAGATTGCTAGTTTTATATCCCTTATTGGCAGATTATTAATTTGAACTGTTATCTACTAAAATCTTACCATTCAAGTTTTTAAAGAAGAATTTCTTTTTTATACTATGTAAAAAGATAGATTTAAAATTTTCTATGAAAGTAAAGCTTTGCTTTTTATTAAATTTGGTTGTGATATAAAAAACTAGTTAGGTTTATTTTCATTTATCAAGTGTCAGTAAAAGGCATAAAATTTTTTAATTTGTTAGAAATAGTTTTGGTGTATAAAATACAGTTGAAGTTTAGAATGATTTTTTGTATTGTTTATTTAACTGCAATATGCAGTAGTAGATGTTCTTAACTGGATGGATTATCCTTGAATTTATTAAATTTATAACAGAATATTTGGTTTATTATATTGGTTGCAGATTTTCCTTTATGTAGATTTTGTTAAATTATTATTCAAATACATTTTTATATCATTAATATATTAGTTGGAAAAAATTAGTAAAAAGAAGAATCAAATCATTATTCAAGTTATATTAATCCAGTATTATATTTGCTCATTTTTCATAAATCAATGGGATCCATTGTGTAATTAGTTACCAGCATCAAAGTAAATATCGTTTTTTAAAATATGAGTTTCTTTTTGTATCACATAAAATAAAATAATAAACTTAGTGTGAAATGATTGAGTATTAAGATAAATCATTCTGTTTTTTTTAAAACAGGTTATATATAATTTTGATAATTTTAAACTTAAAATGTAAATATTGTTTCAGTCAAAGAAAATATTTACACTGACAAGCTTTTTTCTTTACATTAGCATTACATTCAAATGACTATTTTAGAAACTAAATTCTGCTAAGGAGATATTTTAGCATTGGAAGATGAATGACTATCATTAAATAAATGAATTTTTACTTTCCTGGCTGCTATATAACAGAAATAAAGTATGGCAATCAGTCAAAAAATGACCTCCCAAGATTTTTACATTTTTGAACTCTGGACCTTGAAACATTGAGAAATGTAAAAAAAGCTGGGGGTTTTTTCTGTATGTATTGATGTTAGTCTATATGAATTTAAATTCTATTAAAAAAAATCATGCATTAATATATTGCATGCTACTCTAAAAATATTTTTAAATAAGTATGTATGAGTTTATTCCTCTTGTATTAATTAATTCTGTATTGCTTTTGATATTTAATCTTCATATTACATCAGAAAAGATTTTAATTTGAAGAAAAACCAACAAAGTCACTAACTGAAAAATTTCTTTTTAAAAAGTTTGTTGATTCTTGGGAAATGAACCTAAATATTGCCAACATTTTGTGTGTTACTTACTACAACACTTGTGAATTTGCTGAGAGAATTTTTTTTATTAACAAACGTTTTCAGCTGCACCTGTAGGCCTTGATCAGGTTTTTAAATTCATTTTTAGAAAATGTTCAACATATATAACATTCCATTTAAATTTTAACTTTTGAAGTATTCTAAATACAAATTTAAAAGGAATGTTATATTTATGGAACATTTTCCAAAAATGAATTTAAAAACCTGATCATGGCCTACAGGCACAGCTGAAAACGTTTGTTAATAAAAAATTCTCTCAGCAAATGCACAAGTGTTGTAAGTTTGTAATTTATCTCTGCTGAGTACTTCTGCACTGTATTTTGTATGTGCTCATATTAGTTATTTAAATTGGCAGCTATGCTCTTAACTATAAATAATTTTTTTGTGATAAAAAAAATTTTCCTTCTGCAGATTTAAGAATTACAGACTGAAAATAAACCTGTAATAGCTGAATATTTTCAATGCAACATAATGAATTTTATGATAAAATTTATGTTAAATAAAGATAAATTAATTTTTGAATGCTAATTTCATTTTAATGAAATAAATAGATCTGTAATAATTTTTTTTCCAGTGAGCCTTACAATACCAATAATGTAATTTCTTCAACTTTGAACATTGTATGTGGAAGAGTATCTCCGATGGATTTGGTTCGGGTTCAAACTTTGGAAGACAATATGTATGCATTCTTGTCCGTCGGTTGGGGAATCATGGCAGATATCGATATAGAATCTGAAAAATTACGAGCAATCGGAGAAGCTAGATTCACAGTTTGGGCTCTGGTTAGAGCATTAGGTATTTAAATTTTCTCTCAATTATTAATCATCTTGAATGCAATTAATTCTTTGGATGTTATGTTATTTTTTACTTTTCCTCTGTTATATATAAATAGAGGGAAAGTAAGGTGATTGGTCAAAAAATGACCCTCCCCAAAATTTTTACATTTTGGACTTGGTACCTTGAAACATAAAAAAAAAAAAAAAAAACCAAATCAGAGGTTTTGCTATATGTATGGACATGATATTGTTTTGTTCATCCACTTTGAAGCTTAATAATAACTTGTGTCTTTTGTTGAAAATTTCTGAAGTTTAGCAGGGTGATTTGTATCCTGTTAGTCCCCTAATAAATTTGTGATTTGTATCCTGTAGTCCCCTAATAAATTTCAGTGGTTAAAGTTTCAAGGGATGGGAAAGATAATGGAGATATAACAAATGTCCATCACTAAGTTGGACTTAATGAAGATTTTACTCATTATTAGTATTTACAATTCATAAAACTCATCTCTACCCTCAAAATTAAGCTTTTTGCCATTTTATAATAATTAATAATATAAAAACCTTTTTAATAAAATATCATAACAGATTATGCCAATTTTCAACTTTTGGCAGGAAAGTTACATTGTTGCATATTTTAAACTCATGATTTTTGATTTATTAATCTAATAATAAATTAACCTTTTATTTTCAATGTGTTTTTCAACTAAATTTTATTGCAAAAGAATCATGTAATATATAACATATCAGAGATTAACCAGAAAATACATATATAGATATTTTAATTACTCTATAACACAGTCATTATATCTGTGTTAGTTATAACCTGGTTTGAGTTTACGGTTATAATGAGAAAAATGCCTCAACAATTTTAATTTACATGTATTTTCATTTCTCATGGTTATAATAACTGTACTCCACAGACATACTAAGCAAATTTTTGGTAGTTGTGCAAACACAAACATTTTTAATTGTCCAAATAGTAAGAAATGCAATACTGAATTTTTGTAAGAGATAAAACTGAAAGGGTTACTTAGTTTTATGATGACTGAATAATTAGTTTTACAACCTGTATGAATTACAGGCCTATTTATCACTTAACTTTTCTTTTTGAGACTATCCCTTGACTGGCTTCCAGCCTATTTTTCAATTTGCCTAACTGTCATTATGATTGTAAAATAATCCCATACTCTAATTAGAAACAAACTCTTCTATGAGAAAAATGTATATGAAGAACAGAAAATATCTCTGTATATGAAAAAGTAGAAATTATTCATGAGTTAGAACATGGTGCTAAAAACATCAAAGTGAAAGTTTTCTTTGTCATCTTTGACAGCATCAGCATTATGGAAAAATAAAGCAATTGTCAATTTTGAGATTTGAATATATAAAGACCAATTAATAATATGTCCAATTTCAGTTAGTATTGATATTATCTTTAATTACAAAAAGTAAATTGTTTAATATTAATTATAATGTAGTTTTATTAATAGTTATATAATGTATTTACATTTTTTTAATCAAACTTATTTAGAATAAAAATTTAAAAGATAAATTAGTAAAATCTATCTTTTAAGTTTACAGTGGCATAGCTACAAATTTTGCCACCCACAGGCACCCTCTATATGTTTGCACCCAAAGCAGTTGTCTATTTTCCCCCTAGTTATGTCACTCCTCTTCATGGATATAATGAGGAAAACCTTGCCAGTCCCCTAATGCTTGTTATAACAGAGTTCAACAGTATTTGTCATAAAATTACAATTTCAATGTATATATATATGCTATATCCTCCTAAAATATTTGAACCCTGCTTAAAAGATATATATCAGACAACTAAAATTAACACCAGAACACATGCTGAGCTTACCTCAATTTAATACTCAAATGCTTTCAGCCTATTCTTATAGGCCATTCTCAGGAAACTATCATTCCACAAATGAACATTAAATATCACGAGTATTCGAAATCTAAGTTTTCAAACATTTTAAATAATTATTACATTAAACCATTAAATATTAAATAAACAACTTACTAATACATTATATAACCAAACAAATGTAAAAAATAACATACTATATCGAAAATACATTAAACTAGTTAAATCAAAACCACCATATCTTTTTACGGGTTTTTAACTCCCATTTCTTTTTCTATTACATATTTCCAGGCCATTGGGAGAGCATTTGCGTCTTTTGCATTTAAGCAATTATTGTTCACTTTACTCTTATATATTTCTATCTTCTCCATACTCAATGCAATCGTCGGAGAATGGACTGTCTTAACTATTCTCACTTTATCCCATTTCACGTTTGCTCCTTCTGTTTGTGCGATAACTGCCAAAACTGTGTTGTTATGTCCTTTATTCACGTCATATTTGTGCTCTTTTAAACGTATTGCCAAGCTTCTTCTAGTGACCCCAATATAATCTTTTGTCACTCCCAATTGCTGATTTTCAAAAGGAATTTTATAGACCCCAGGTTTATCTTGCATTTTTACTTCATCTTTATCATTCCTTAGCAGTCTGTATATGTTTGGTGCTCTTTTATACACCGTTTTCGTGTTTTTATATCTACTTAATTCCTCCATCACTCTCTCCATACTCCTATTGTATGTGAACTTGTTGTTCCTATCCCTCCTATCATCTTGTCTGCTTCTATGTTGTTTGTAACTCTTGATCAATCTTTCAGTTGTGGTTGTTCTGAATCCTAAACCTTTTGCCACTTTCTTAATTCTGTTTATCTCCCTAAGTCAATCTTGTATGTTAGTGCAATACAAGAATGCTCTTTTAATAAGTGCCTTGAATGCTGATATCTTATATCTAAACGGATCATTTAACCATGCTGGTATAAGCGTGCAGTGGTGCAAGCGTGGGTTTTTAAGTACACAGCCATTTGTATACTGCTCATTTTAAACTTTATACTAATGTCCAGGAAATGAAGATGTGTCTGGCTAGATGCTGTTCTAGCTTTATCCTTAACCCATGACAATTGTCATTTATTGCATTTAAAAATTCTTCAATCCTTCGTTCGTCCTTTCAATTATTAACACATCATCCACGTATCTCTTGTATAATATAATGTCCTCTCCAAATGCTCCTATGACATCCTTTTCCAGTTGACGATCTACCAATTCACATAAGAGCCCTGACATGGGACTTCCCATCGGGACACCTTTCTTCCATTTGTACGTCACCCCATTGAATCCAAAAAACGAATGGAAGCACATCAAATCTGCTAGTTTATTCAAGTCCTTTATATATGCTGATGACCCTGGATTATGCTGGATCATAAATTCGATAAGCGCATTGAAGCAAGAAGTTAGATTCATGGATGGGTACATGCTTTCAAAATCCATTACTGTTCCTACTTCATCGTTCATTAAAGCCAAATCTTGTAATTCCTTTACCAGCTTATTGGGATCATGCGCCATGTACATATTATCCTCCATTTCCTCATAGATGTACTTTTTTAATCGCTTCTCCAGTATAAACGTTGGTGCATTGCATCTTTCAACTACCGGCCAAACCTCTTTGTTCTCCTTATGCATTTTCTGGGTATTCGGGGGGCTAGGATTATGTGATCTTTTTAAGAATTGCAGATACGTTGCAAATGGTGTTCTCTCAAGTGTTTTAACTTTGTTATCCATTATCATTACAATCCTTTCATCTAAAATACCACATTCAGTCTTTCTAATATAATCCTTAATGGCTTCATCATATCATCTTTCCATAATCACCATTTGCTTAGTCTTATCTGCTTTTGTTAACACCAGTTGATTCTTGGCTAGCCACTCTTTTGTGAACTTTATATTCAACCTTTCTTTACTTTGTACATTGTGTTTTTCCTTTTTTGTGAATACCATCTTCCATCTAAAATAATCTCTTTCAACCTCATTAAGACCAGTCATCCCTCTTTCCATTTCGGCTGTTGTAGTTTGGAACATAACTGGGCCCATTCCCTAACACTTTCTCTACCTCAATCTGGTCCCAAAGGATGTATATCAGATTTTAAATTTGTTGTTTAAATAACTATACAGTAGAGCGTCATTTATCCGAAAGCGCTCCAGTCAGACTGTGTCATGCCGAATTGAATGTTTTCGATACTAGATTAACTTCCAAAATATAATTTTTTTGTTTTATATTTTTCAATACATTTATTTTGTTTGTACAAAATAAAGAAATAATTTTTAACAATACAATAGCCACGATTATTATTTTAAAAAATTTACGTTAGGCTTAACATCGACAAAAATTAAATGCGAAGCGACACACAAAGAGAAAAATTTCAACCTGGGAAGGGTAAATATAGTAAAGCCTCGAAAACTCGGCACTCGATAACCCGGCACTCCGGATAACTCGGCCACACTCTGGCAGGGCAAAAAAATCCTTAGTTAATTAATTTTCATGATAAAGACAGCTTTATGCCTCATAAAGTATTTTTTTGAGGTCTGTCTTATCAGGTAAATTACTGTACAGTGTATTCATTAATTTTCATTTTCATGTAGTAAAAGGCTCTATGCCTTCATAAAGACGTATTTTTCCTTTGTTTAAGGGTATTTGGGCAGTTTATTCTCTGTTATATTCTCAAGTAAACAATACATACAAGTACAGTACAGTATTTTCTGAGGAAACACTCATACTTATTTTTTTTAACCCCATTCCCGATAACCCGGCATTTTCACAAGCTCGGCCACCCTTCGGTCCACATTAGGCCGAGTTTTCGAGGCTCTACTGTATATTTTTTCGTACATAATCAGTTAGGAACTGGGGGTTGTTCAGATAACTGATTATGTATGAAAAAATATATTAACTCTTCCCAGGTGGAAATTTTTCTCTGTTGTGTGTCGCTTTTCATTTAATTTTCATCGATGTTAAGCCTAACGTAAATTTTTTAAAATAATAATCGTGGCTATTGTATTGTTAAAAATTATTTCTTTATTTTGTACAAACAAAATAAATGTGTTGAAAAATATAAAAACAAAAAAATTATATTTTGGAAGTTAATCTAGTATCAAAAACATTCAATTCGGCATGACACAGTCTGACTGGAATGCTTTTGGATAAATGATGCTCTACTGTATTAATTTTTAGACACTAATGTTAGTTGTAAGAACTCATACTTACAACATTTTCAACAGCTTCAAATAACAGATAAGAGTATCGTATGTAATCTCCCTTCCCAAGATGCATTTAACTATAAACTTAAATTTGCTCATATAATACATACTGTGATGTGTTATGATGTAGCACATATTACAATGACATTATTATAGTTTCTAATACATATTTCTTAAGAAATAAATATATCATAAAAATTTTCATTGCAGTTATATTCTTATACATATAACTAACACCTTATTCTTGCTGAGAAATATAAATTTATTCCAAACAAACATTTTCAACCTGATTTACAGGCCATCGTCAGGTTTAGAACCAAATTCGAATTAAAAGATTCCATCAATGGAATACAAAATTAAAATATTAAATATCCAACGGAGTAACATAAAACAAAAATATAAAAATGTAAAAAATGTACATAGAAGTATTAAGTAATACAATTATTATGACTGGTTAGAGCTCTTATTAAACTTCTTAACTATAAATTTCCATGCAGAGGGAAGACTTTCTGCATCCCTCGCATTTAAACAGCCTTCCTGTATTTTACTCCTATAAATCTGCAACTTTTCTGCTGTCAACGCCAAAGATGGAGAAGATAAAGGTTTTATGATGGTTGCCTCATTCCATTTGACTACAGATCCTGGTGTTTGTGCCATTTGGGACAAAATCGTTGCATTAGACTCCTTTCTGATATTAGGACTTAGAATCAAGGAACATAGTTATGAACTCCTGGTGGTTACTCCAATGTAGTCTTTTTTAACACCCAATTGTATATTCTCATAAGGTATTCTATAAACCCCTACTTTCTCTTCCGACTTTATATCATCCATATCATTCCTGAGGATTTTGTATAAATTAGGGGCCCTTTTTGTAAGCATCCTCAAACCTTTTCTGCGAGCAATCTCTTTCATAACACTATTCATACTTTCATTATATGTAAATTTTACGATTCCAGTGGGAGCATTTTTAAAAGACTTTTTCTTGATGTTCACTTCATACTTCCTAACCATTCTCAGAATTGCACTTTTTCGGTAACCTAGGGTCTTGGCGACGCTTATTATTCTATTTATTTCTTTATTCCTGTCTAGTATTGTTTCACAATACAAAAATGCTCTTCTTATTAAAGCTCTGAAGCTTTATATTTATACGGATCCTTGGATTGGGAGGGAATATACAATGGGCTGTGGGATGGTTTAATAAAAATGCTAGTGGACAGGTGGCCTTTTTTGAATTTAATACCAATGTCTAGAAAATGCAGATCCAAGGAACTCTTCTGCTCCAATCTTAAAATAAGGCCATCATTGTTATTATTGATCTTATCCAAAAACTCTTTAATCCTGCTGTTATTTCTCCATAATATAAGTAGGTCATCAACGTATCTGCTAAAATACATGATATCCTCCTTAAAACCATGAAAAATTTTTCTTTCCAGTCTTCTAACTACCAATTCGCATAGGATCCCTTAGAGCGAGCTTCCCATAGGGACCCCTCTTCTCTGTCTGTAGCTCTGCCCATTAAAAGCAAAACAAGATTCACGGCACACCAATCTAGCCATAAGCTCTACTTCCTTGGTATAACTAAGCAACTCAGAGTTATTGCCTTATAAGAAATCCAAAAGCGCCTCCTCGCATGATTCTATCTTTATTGATGGATACATGTTCTCATAGTTGAAAACAGTTACAACTTCATCCTCCATTAATGCAATATTTTGCAGATCTTTGACCACTTTTATAGGATCACGTGCAACTAGAGTATCTGTGCTCAGCTGGGAGGATAAATACTCATGCAACTTATTTTCTAATACAAATGTGGGACCTTTGCATTTCTCTACAACCGGTTTTATTTCTTTACCATTTTCATGTACCTTAGCGAAAGCAAACAAACTAGGTGTTCCAGGTCTAGGGTTCCTGCATTTTTTGAGAAAAGGCAAAGCTCTGGAAAGACTCCATCTTTGGTGTTGACAGCAGAAAAGTTGCAGATTTATAGGAGTAAAATACAGGAAGGCTGTTTAAATGCGAGGGATGCAGAAAGTCTTCCCTCTGCATGGAAATTTATAGTTAAGAAGTTTAATAAGAGCTCTAACCAGTCATAATAATTGTATTACTTAATACTTCTATGTACATTTTTTACATTTTTATATTTTTGTTTTATGTTACTCCGTTGGATATTTAATATTTTAATTTTGTATTCCATTGATGGAATCCTTTAATTCGAATTTGGTTCTAAACCTGACGATGGCCTGTAAATCAGGTTGAAAACGTTTGTTTGGAATAAATTTATATTTCTCAGCAAGAATAAGGTGTTAGTTATATGTATATGTATGATTTGCTGAGTACTTTATGATATTGCAGTTATATTCTGTTGAAATATTATAGAAATTGGTTACAGTTACGGAAATACATACATTAGTAAAAAGCTATAGATTGATGAGGGATATTATATATCCCTCATCAATCTATAGCTTTTTACTACTAATTTCTTTGTTCAAATTTTATGTTTACAGAATTTATTGAGTATTTACAATATTTGAAAACATTTTCTCTGATTTGAATCTCAAACTATGTTGCACTTCAAGTGATTTGTTCCAAAATACATTTGCAGGAATTGGATGATGATGATTAATTTTTAAATTTTGTTAGTGAGGAATACTGATGACTCGTGTATAACTGTATTCAATCAGATTCAACACTCTTAATTTGTTTATGCTGGTTGTCATTGGGTGAACCATCACAACCTAAAAGTTCAGTCACAAAATGTTTAATTTCTGCCAATTTTTGCAAATTGTCAAAAAAATGACATTACACATTTTGTTTTTTGGCATCTTAGATCAATTTAACATCAGATATTTCCCTTTATTCTATTTCATTAATTTTTTGTGTGTCTGTTCTCTTAAAACATAATACAAAATGTATTCAAAAACTTCAAAGTGGTGCTTGATTATTGAAAATTTCAGATTACAAAACATTTTGTATTTTCACAAAATTTGATAAGTTACATGTGATCAAAGCATTGTAAATATGGTTGTACATCTAATACCAGCACATGCTGTATGCTTCAGATTTGTTTATAATACTCTTTAATCAATTTGAAGACATAATGTTACCATGTATATTCATGTTTAATCTGTAATGTTTTTGCAGGTATCTCAAATTCATTATTGTGCAAAACAAACAATTAATGCCTGTTCACAGTATACACACATGATTTTTCTGGTATGCTCTGAGGGTGAGAAAACTGTTTTTAGGTCTGCTGTCCTGTGGGAAAAAATATATCAGTCATGTTACTCAATATAAAACGTGTGCTAGCTATAGTGAAGCAATGTTTGTTCAATGTAGACTATGCATCGGTTACTGAATTACACTACATAGCATTTTGAGAGCCTCCTGACTTTGCAGGTTTTGATGAGACATTGTCATAAGAAAAAAACATCTTTTAGGATCAGACATGAAATCAATTCATTCAGTGATTTTGGTGTAAAGACACATTAGGCACAAGAAAGTACCAGTAAAATTATTCAATTCAATACATACAAACAAAAATGCTGTAAGAATATTCTTAATCCCATAGTTTACCTCATGATATGTTAGGGTGTAGTGCAGCAGTGCACAGAAGTTCAAATTTTATCTCAATTTCCACCTGGGGTCTTTAGTGCACTTTGTGTCGAAATAAATTCCAATTCATGGAATACTAGCATACCAGGTTATTATTGGACAATCCTAGATTATTGGTTACTTCTTAGATGGTACAGAATAAATCTCTGTACTTTGTACATAGAAGTACTATAAGAATCTTTCTAAAGTAAGACAAGAAACATCACAATTAAATAAAGAAATCACTCTAACATCACACTAAACCATAACTAATCAGTACAATATACTGTATATTGTACTGATATGTTGTATTGTACTTTGTATATTGTATTGATATGTGTATTGTACTGTATATGTTAAGCAGTTGCGGACACAGGAGTGAGAACATTGTAATAAATTGCTGACTGGCTTAAGGATGTCTCTTTGAGGAGATGGAATCATCCATAATTGACAAACAACATCATATTGCAAACACTACCCATGGATATATGTACAGAATGTCACATGTCTGAATCAATAAAAACATCCTATAAAAATTATTTATGTAAGCATAATTTAACAAAAGCTCTCAAACACATTTTTTCTTTCTAATTTCTGAAGTATAAATTTAGTAGTGATATAGCATATGTAGAATACTTTTAAAGCTTATTCTTTTTGTTCTTAACATGTCTAGGCAGTTAGATATTTGTTCAGGCATCAGGAACTCATCATCACACTAATCAAGCAATAGAAACTTTTGATAGTTTTCCTAAATGATCATTAGTAATGACTACTCAAAGAAACTATAAAAAGTTAGAAATTATCAATAGTTAGAATGTGCTATATTCCAAGTGTGATCAGACTTTCATCACTCTGAACATTATAAGACATTGTTGACATTGCAGAAAGATTGTAATTTGCCAAAATTACAATCAAAATTTGTTATATCTTCAATTAATGTACAATGTTTAGAAATAAAATATATTTATATAAATTGTTTATTTAGGTTTAAGAAAATACAGAGGAAGACTGTCTTATCTACCAGTTGCTGGAATGAAAGGATATTGTAAGAAAAATGAACAGGATGAATGGAAAATAGAAAGAAGTAAAACCATGGATGATGGTTTTCAATGGCATAAAAATTATACTAAAGAAAATGGAGTTTGTGATGGGGGTTTATCACGACAAACAATCGGAAGGCGATCTAAAAGCTTTATCGCAATCAATTCTGAAGAAGTGACTCTGCCAGAAGCACACAATGTATCACAAGTTGAAAAATATAATTATACTAGCAATAATTTGGAGGAAACATATAATCCTATTTTTGAAGTCTCAAAAGATGAAAACATATGTGATACAAAAGAAAATGATCATCTGAAGGAGAATCAGTCTGCAATTAGTGACCAACAAAGTTCTACAGCTTCTACCAGTAATGCTGATATGTATTGTTCAAAACTTCCATCACTTTCAGCTCCATTACCAGAAAATTGGATAGTAGAAGAAGGGGAATTTGTATTAGTGTATGTTTCATTGCAAACTCATCTTGCTTCAGATGTATTTATTGCACCAAATGCAAAATTGGATGATGGTGTGATGTGGCTGCTAATCATAAGAGCAGATGTCTCCAGAGTTCAGGTTATAAACTTTCTCACTTGTTTACAAAGTGGAACACACATTGATAATCCATATGTTGATATGATTCCTATATATGCATTTCGGTTGGAACCATTTTCTACAGATGGTTTTCTCACTGTAGATGGTGAAGTTATTAAATCTGGTCCCATACAAGCAGAAGTATTACCTTCAATTGCCAGGGTAATGACACTTTAATTTTTCTTGTCAGTATTAACAAAACTGAACTAGTGCCTCAAACTTACTTGAATTTTAACTTTCATAATTTAAAATGGAATATTACTCTAGCAAAAATTAACCTTTTTTAACTAGAAGTTTCTTGTAAATATGTTGTTTGCTATTTTTGAACTATTTTATTTTCTAGTCACAAGAGATTATAATTTTGGCAAAATTTCCTGTCTTTCATTAATCTTCCCATTTTGAAATTTTTGTCTAGTATTAATTGATATATAATTACGTAGGAAGGATTTTGATTTACATGATGTCGGCATGACATTGTAAGTAACTGATTACTTTGCTTGTGTGCAAAATGAAAAATTTATATTAACATTTCTAAATTCCTATGTAATGTTGTGATATACTTGTTACTATGAAAAGCCATTTTTTTAAAAAAATAGAAAAACTATTTTTTGAAATTTACTACATATATCATGCATATTGGTACTTAGAATTTGTATTCAGTGAACAAAACTTTATACAGATTGCTAGTTTTATATCCCTTATTGGCAGATTATTAATTTGAACTGTTATCTACTAAAATCTTACCATTCAAGTTTTTAAAGAAGAATTTCTTTTTTATACTATGTAAAAAGATAGATTTAAAATTTTCTATGAAAGTAAAGCTTTGCTTTTTATTAAATTTGGTTGTGATATAAAAAACTAGTTAGGTTTATTTTCATTTATCAAGTGTCAGTAAAAGGCATAAAATTTTTTAATTTGTTAGAAATAGTTTTGGTGTATAAAATACAGTTGAAGTTTAGAATGATTTTTTGTATTGTTTATTTAACTGCAATATGCAGTAGTAGATGTTCTTAACTGGATGGATTATCCTTGAATTTATTAAATTTATAACAGAATATTTGGTTTATTATATTGGTTGCAGATTTTCCTTTATGTAGATTTTGTTAAATTATTATTCAAATACATTTTTATATCATTAATATATTAGTTGGAAAAAATTAGTAAAAAGAAGAATCAAATCATTATTCAAGTTATATTAATCCAGTATTATATTTGCTCATTTTTCATAAATCAATGGGATCCATTGTGTAATTAGTTACCAGCATCAAAGTAAATATCGTTTTTTAAAATATGAGTTTCTTTTTGTATCACATAAAATAAAATAATAAACTTAATTATAAATTTATGATATTGAAAAATAACACTATAACACTGGCTTGCTTTTATTCCATTTTGATTGTTTTGAAATAAATGAACATTTCCATTAAAATTCTATTCTTGTATATAAAAGTTTTATTTAAGCAAATTATTTATATATTGTTTATATAGGATTTTTACTTGTTTTCTCATGAGTGCTTTCAAATATTAAATTTCTTTGCTTCTTTGACTTGGTGCTTTTTATTATTTAATATTTTAAAGTACAACTTTTAATGTGAACATTGGCTGTTACTTAAATTTCTAATATTAGTAATTGAATTTTAGAATTTATATTGCTATGACTTGATTCTTTCAATAGTAAATCAAAATTGTACAATTTGCAGTTCAAAAATTATTGATTGATCTATTCTTATATTTTTAAAAAAATAAAAAATTCAGACTAAGAAATTTTGTTAATTTGTGTAAAATTCTTTACTGTTTAATGATTTAATTTAGACTGTAATACTTCCAAGTATTTACATTCCATGCTTTCTAATTTACTTTATAAAATATTTTTATATATATCTGTGATAAAACTTGATTATTTAGATTTATTTACTAACAATTGGCTTTATGCTTCCATTCTTATTAGCAATGCATCTATCATTTTACTAAGTGATACAATTTAACTTTATATAAATTGCTTAAATATATTGACATGATGTCATATATTATATATGTATATTTTTATTTTAATACCTGCTAAATGTCATATAATGTATATTTTTATATAACAGATAGCATATGCAATTATTGAACTAAATATATTGCTTTATTAATAAAATTTATTTTTGGAACAACAAAACTAATTTGCTCAACTGAAAAATCCATAAATATAAAATTTGTTCTATACTGCCAAATTATTCTAATGTTACATGAGCATATTGGGATTAATATGGGGACCATTTAAATATGATTCTAGTGTATTTTCTTGTAGGTGTATAATTTTGTTAATATTGTTAATAAAGTAATAAAATTCACTTTACTTTTTTGAAATTATTATTAAAATATCATCTATGACTAAATATAAACTGTTATACTTATCTTTAAGAATTATGTATAATAAAAAGTTTATTTTATTGTTTATTGCAAATGAGAATAAAAAAAAGCACAGAAAAATTGTTTGTAAAAAAGAATTATTATTTTGAAAACCACACACACACAACAATATATATATGTTATATAAATAATTTTTGTGAACATAACATTTGTTATTTCTTATGATATGACTTAAGATGATACACTTATTTTAAAATTTCTTGCAATTTTGATTTAACATCAGATTGTAAGAATTTATTATATGTTCCTGTGCACAACTATTAAAAAAAATAGAAAATATTAAATTTTGATAACACTAAAATTTGTTTTTAGTAATTACTTACTTCATGAATGATTTCCTTTAAAATAAATGTATTCACTTCTTTTACATTTATTGATGCAAGTTGCATTGCATTATAAACAACATGCTTCACTAATGATTCATTGATCATTGAGGATTTCAAACACTATGTAAAATAAAATTCTATATAAATACTATATTTTACTCTTCATATATAATTTATTTATTTACATACCAAAAGTAATAACCTCCAACTAATTTCATCATTTTCTTTTCTTGAATCTATGGATCTTGTTTCAATAACTATTTTCAGCCAAGGAAGTGACATTAAGTGATCTCCTAAAACAGTATTACAAAATAAATAACACAAAAACAAATTTATGGATATTAAGATCTTTTAGATTTAATTATTAGATGCATCCTAAGTTGTAATTCATTTGAAGTATTTGATGTCAAACCTATTAATCCAAGCATTGCTACATAACATTAATTTTGAAAATAAAATTCAATTAAAAAGTGTTATACTTTATAGGGAATTATCACCAATAAATGGTATTAACAATGAAATATGATGATACTTTTAAATTATTATTAAGAATTAATAAAACACCTAAGTTCACTGGAGATAAGGCATTTGAATGTTTTATATCATTTATATACATAACATGATCTTTATGTATCACTAAATCTTTTATTATGTCAAAAATTATTATATAAATAATATATAATGCAATAAAGAAATAGTAGGATTTATCATCAAACTTAAAAATATTCAGGATTCATTTTTTTTTTCTTAAAAACAACAAATGCTAACACATTAATAAATAGTAGAATTATTTTACAACTGCTTTTAGAAACTGGAAATTTTTATTATTTTTTTTAATCTAATAATAAAAGTTCATTACAATTGGGAACCTAAATGATGATTTATAAATAAATAATTATAACATAGAAATGTTGAGAAATTATTAAAGTTTTGGAATTTTATGAAATATAGCTTATTAATCAAAACTCAAGAAATACATTTGATCAAAGCTAACCAATACTGTTCTTATGATATAGAACAGTGTTTTTCAACCTTCTTGGATATGCGATCCCTTTACAAGTTAAAAAATTCTGGCGACCTCCCTAGGGCCATATTAAAACTATATCAGTGATTTTAAAAACTACGTATTTAATTTTCTTTCTGTTGAGACAAATTATTGTTGATTAAAATGAAAATTTCGGAAGAATCGACAATAACATAACACACATAAAGTATGAAACTTCCTTTAATTATAACATTGGGCACAGGGAGCTATTGACCTTTTTTTTTTTTTTTAGGATNTTTTCTTTTTTTTTTTGTTTTAGGATCAGAATTTTCAGCTTTTACTTTTCTACTTTTTATTTCTTTTTGCAAATCAGCTCAACACTTTTTTGGCTATCATTTTCTGGGGTAGCCCGTAATTCTCACTGAAATTGTAGTTTTTTTAATGTAATGTAGGACCTACAAACACTTGTCTTTCTCTTTTACCCGCAACCCCCGTGTAAGGCTTCGCGACCCCCCTGGGGGTCGCGACTCACAGGTTCAAAAACACTGATATAGAATATCTAGTAACTATTTATGCCAATTTAATTAACTCGATAACACTTTCTAGTATTCAATGAAATATTTGTTGTTCAAATACATATAATTGTAATTAACATATTGTTTTACAATTTTCATCTATTTAACTTTGATGAAATATATATTTAAATTTTTAAAGTTTGGGTTCAATAATAGCTATAAAATTTTATCATTGAAATATTATTTTCTTTTAAGACATATTCAGATCACTAAAAATAATTTAATCTTATCTTCACATGTTGATATAAAAAAAAATTAAAATTTTGAAACAAGTGATCACTTATGGTATTATGCTATTTTAAATAGATAATCTAATCTGATTAAATTACACTGGGACTCAAGCTACAAATGTAAAAATTATAACAACTTTATCTAATTAGATAAATGAAATGAATATCAGATATGCTTACATAATAATCTATGCTGATATGGATAAGAGATGCTGAAATTCTTTTTTTTCTTTTCTCTGTAAACTTTTAGGTGAGTTTGGATGTTAGAAGTGTTATTTCAAAATTCTCAAAGGTTTCACTTGATGATGACTATTTGCTTATTCACTTAATGTATACTTTTGTTCCCTCTTCAGTGATATTTAGGTTAAAAAGTAATAGTTCCAAACAAGTTTTAAAATTCATATACCTCCAGATTGTATACTTTTAAAAACAATTCCCATATCTGTGATGTTATTGTTAAATGTTAAATACTATTCTCAAGTGAAATCTTTGGATGTTAGAAGTGCTGTTTTGAAATTCTCAAACTCACCTGAAAGTTTACAGAGAAAAGAAAAAAAAATCTGAGTTCAAATCTGCATACTACATATTCTCAGATGCATGGGCGTCCACACACAATTTTCTGATGGGAAAGCAAAGCTTTGAGTCAAATAATTACATCAATAAATTTTTGATTGTAATTTTTTGGGAGTTTATTCACAAGTACATTATAGAGTACAGTATTGCATCAAAGTGTCTCATGGTTGAGGGTGTAGTGATACGTGTCTCACTTTTACAATTATTATTTGTGAATTTTTTACTTAATCCCAGGGAAGAGGCAAGTTCCTTGTTTTCCCCCTTCTGTGGATACCCATGCTCAGATGCAAACTGATTCAGCATAAAAAAAAACCATTTTTCTTCTATAGTACTTAATCCAAAATTCTCAGATTTGGTGCAATAAAATTTTTAAGGTTTCACCTTAAACTACAGCTGGAAAATTTTGCAATTTAAAGTTTTAAACTATGACTCAAAAATCAGGATAGGCAAATGACTAAGTCTTAATTATAGCATTGAAAGTCAAAGTTGCAAACTGTCTTACAGATACATCTAAGCTTGACTCCTGGACATCCAAGAATCACATGCATAAGGAAATAATGACTTCTTGTCTACAGAAGCAGGTTAATAAATTTATATAGCATAACAATTTGTTTAAAATATCATTGCATCTACAAGACTTGTCTCATGGTAAATGTTGTTTAGAAGACTTCTTGATGGTTACCTTTACTTTATGCAAGCCAGCCAGTTGCTTATATTCCAACCCGTGCGGAGTAAGTGGTCAGAAGAGATCGACCCCTGGCCCCCGGCTGCTAACAATATCCTCCCAGAAAATGAGTCTGATTGAATTAAAATATATAATTATGCATGTGCCCTATCAAGTGAGAAGCTTCTATAGACATATATTTCAATGTGCAGTGTAAAACTTCATTTTATAAATATATGATGTAAATTAAAACTTTGATAAACACTAAAATTAGTTCAGGGGGTAGAGCCTAAGGATCCACCAATGTATTTTGAAAAATCAATTCAGATTCATCTGTTAAAGGGACATATATTAAGCATACCTGTAAAAATTACTGAAATATCATACATAACTGTTACAGTTTTACATTAGATTTGTTAATTAAAATCATCATTAATTGATTAAAGTTAAATAAAGCAGGAATTTTTATGTCACAGATTATTTTTGTAAAGATTGAAATAAAAGCATATGTTTATAAGATTATAATGATCTACAGTGACAGATATTAAGACTTTTGAGATGTTTTTTAGACATTTAATTATACTAAAATTTATTATACTATAAAAATATTCAAATTTGTAATTTAAAGATGTTATATTTTGTGTAATTTTAAGATCATAATTTTTTAAACAAACTTTAATAATTTTCATAACATACCAAGAAAAGAATTTTTGTTTTTTAAATACTCCAATAATTTTTTGAGACAATATACTGCTTCAAGACTTACAATGTCATTCATCTAAAAAAAAAGTTATTAGATTTCAAATATTTTAATCAGTTTAAATATCATAAGTAAACTATAATTTACCTTTACAATAATATTTAATATTGCTAGAAAAAATAATCTAAAGTCATCCTTTTTCAAAAATAGTGAATTATCATCATTAGCCAAAATGTAATCTTTTTTTAGAAATATAATTGGATGTTCAAAATTATAATTTATAAGTTCTTTTAAAATCTGCAAAATATATAAGTGACTCTTCAATGTATTGTCCTGTAACCAATGTAACATTTGATTCATTGTTATCACCACTCTGTGTTGTCTTATCTGAAAACAAAAAAAATTTAGTATTTCAAAAACATATCTACTTCAATTTTATTTAAGATACAAACCTCACTACAATGATATTTTGGCAACCAGGAAAATAATATTGTTATACTGGGGGTTATTGAGATCTTAAAAATTTAAGAACTGATATTAAGAAAGTGAAGATTTGTTTAAATACATTCTGCGCTTGCATCTAAGTACACTAATGGAATGTTGCACTGTTGACATCATACAATTAGATGTCTCCGAGAAGGATCTAAGTTTACACCCATTACACTAAAGTTGATTTCTTCTGTTTCTTTAAAAACATTGCTAGGGTTTACTGAACAATGCCATACTTCTTTGCAACTTCTACTTTTGAAAGTTTCTAGCTTCATTTCCAAATTTATCCATTTCAATACTTTCACAATTTTTTCCACCACAAGCTAGTACAGCTACCTTTTTCTTGGCCACTAGCTGGAGCTCTTGTCTGGAGGGAAAAGGAAAATGCTTCATGATTGGTCAGGCATTTACAGTTCATTGTAGTAGGATTGGTTGAAACAGTGATGTCGGTTGCAATGATGCTAATTAGCTAAGTATGAGCAAGCCATTCTGGAGTGCAGGGAGGTCCATAGGTATCATGATTAGTAAGCAAGCACTCCTAGCTCTTCACTATGTGGTTCCTGCACTGGTCAGCTGTGATAAAGCATTTGAGTTGGCTGGGGGTTGTGCCAACACATCTCAATAGTTGTATCATTGTATCAGGGATTTTACTATTGTTGTAGCAGGTGATAAATTACAATATTTATATAGTACTTTGGCCAGGACCATGGAAATTCTATTATTGTACTGGAGTTTATCATTATAATGGGTATTGTTTTAAAAAGATTTGACTGGGTTACTTTTTAACATATTCTAATATTGAATTTTCAGGCAACTGAAATATTAATTTTAGTGTGTTTTAATAATAAATAATAATCCTTATATAATAGTTCAATAACTTTATTTATAGAAATTAGAAAGTTAATGTATAGTAAAAAGATGAAAAACTATAAATTAGTCTAGAAAAAAAAAATAATTTAAATTTTTAAATTTTATGTAAAGCTATTTGTTTTTATCATCAGAAATAACAATTATAAATCAAATGAAATGATTTTTCTTCATAAACTTTCAAAAATTTTTTTAGGGCTTGTGGCACAATGATGCTTTTCATCTTCATCATCATCATCATCATCAAACTAACAATTTAGTCTACCAAATATATACATTTCTATTATCATAATCATTTTTATTTTAAAAATAAATATTGATTTAGTCTCTGACTAGACTGAGACCTACCAGGTTAACACACACAATTAGTCGGTTTACAAAATATCTCTTTATTCAATAAGGGTTCCATGATCAACCACTGAGGGTTCATGTGATCTCTCAGAAAAAAAAAATTCTCATTACACAGTCACGTGTCCCGAATACAAATATCCCTCGTCCCTTCACTCTCCTTCTCCCTTATTCATGTAGCGTAACAAGGTTCATACTCGTTTACAATAACATAAAGAATTTTCATAATAGTCTACTCACTGGAAATCTGGCACTTAAACAATCGGGAATCGGACCAACAGATATCGCATGTGGGGAAAAATCTTCGCTTCCGTCGATACCTCGGGTACTCTATCTTCCTTAATTGCTCTGTCCACACTATTCTTTCCGTGTATACCATGCTTGAGATTTGGTTCTATCTCCCTTTTCTGAATGTTCGAACAAATCTTCCTTATCACTCTGGTCAGTTCCAACTTTCCTCGATGGCGCTGATCAAAAACTCTCATGAATGGAACTCCTCCAAAGGAAAGAAAAAAAATGTGTCTTCTCACACGTGGACCTGCTATTTATACCCTGGCTTGCTACCCTCACGTGACCTCTTGGGTAGCCAATCCAGAGGTCCGGTTTTATACAAAGGAGGGAGGTACAAATTAAGGAGGACATGTGTCCAAACGGACAATAAACACAAAGAAAACCCGATACAGTGTGATATAATAAACTTATGCTAAATACAAATAATATTCACATACATTACTAACAACAACTAATAAGTGGCAGAGCACTACAATATAAAATAAAATATACAGCTATATTAAATTAATATGATAAAAATTTGAGATTAAATTTACATTAATACAGTTAAAATATATGATAAAATATATAAAAACATGTATTTTATATTATAAATATTTTTTGAGAATATTAAAGTTGACAAAAAAAAAGACCAAAGTTTTTTGTTAAATTTAACAAACCATAAATTAACTTTCTGACAAAATTAAGCAATTCAAATTTCTTCCTAAATGTTTAAAAATTTAAAGAGAGGTTTGTACTGTTTAAATTTATAATAATAATAATAATCATTTTTTATTTCTAGAAGGAAATTAAACAATTGTATTATTTAACTTATGCAAAAATAGTCATTTCAGTATATAACATATGTTTGAATTAATCAATCAGGATGATATTTGGTGTATGTCATTAGAAGATGATAAAAATATACATAAAATTTTATCCATCTACTCTAAATAATTCAATAGATTTTTTTAAAAATTTAAACTGGAATATAATTCTGCTCCACACTGTAGTTTCTAATATTAAGAACAGCATTATAAGAATTATTATTAGAAATTAGAAAAGCATTATTAGAAATCTTGTATCCCTATTTTACAATGGTGCTCCTATTAATTATATAAATCTTTGTAATATATTCATGGATCATGAAAATATGCTCACTAATAATACCAAACTTAGATTAGGAATAAACTATACTGTTTTTTGGCTTTAGAGTTCTTTACTTGAAAAGTTTCTAACTGCAAGTACTTTTGACATTTCAAAATGTCATCAGACAGTGTGTACTTAACATTCAGCAGTGAAAGATTCTGCTCCATGTGGTGCCTCCACATGGAGCAGAATCTTGAATGAACACACTGTGGGAAAGCATCATACTTGATAGAAATAGCCACAACAGTCTGATATTCAACAACATAAAAATTGTGAGTACTTTTAAAGACATACAGCAGTGGTTCTCAACCTTTCTGAGGTTGCGGGATACCATTCATATACTTTTTATTATATGGAGCATTAGCATCAATATATTCAAAAATTGATAAACAATTCTGTGTTTACTATTCTCAGAAACAATGAAGCAATATAAAAACTAAAAAAAAAAAATGAGAAAGACTTACCAATATAGTTACTCTCACTTCTTTGTCTGTATCAAATAGTAGACCTGATATTGATGAAATTGGCAAAAACTGACTAGCTCATGTACTACATTATAATGGACTTAAAGAAGTTCCATTTTTATAAAAGTTTCATTATTTTAGTTATAATTATAAAAGTTTTATATTATTTTAGTTAGTTTTTACAAATATAATTTTTTAATTACTATTTTTATTATTATGTATTCTGTGATCTATAATTTTTAATAAAATGATATTTTCACACATATTTTTGTTGTTATTTTATGATCTTACTGATTTTGCTATTCTGCAAATCTTTCTGATGTTCAAAAGTGTTCCGTGACTTCAAAAAGGTTAAGAACCACTAGTCTAGAGGTTTGTATGCATTTCTCACATGTTTACACAAGAAATTCATTTCTTGCTTCTGCATAAATGGTGTTGCGATTATGAATTTTGGTCCAAAACACTTTATTAACACTTGTCTTCAAATTGAAGTGTGAAGGTTAGTTGTGAGGGACTCAGAAGGAATTAAAATACTGTACTTCAAAAAAAATTTTTTGCCAAATTTCTCAAAAAAAACTCAAATTTATGATATTGTGTAACTAACATTTTTAAGACCTCAAATGTCATGTAACAACATCACATTTCGACGTGCAACAAGAGAAAGACATTATGGGTGTCGCAATTTAAGTATTTAAACATCAATGAAGTAACATGTGACAGCTTGGCGTCACAAAAATGTCACTGCCCATAACAGCAGAAAAAGTGAGAAATAGTGATACATCGCCAATGTAGTTGAGAAAAAATGATTAATTTAAAAATCGTAAGAATAGTAATCTGTTTTGAGGCCTGTATTACATAGATAAATGTTTAATAAATGATACATAACTAGTTTTTAGAGAATATTTAAGTGAATATTTTGGTTATTTTTGTGTCATAGATATGCACATAAAATGAGTTTTAACTGCATAAAAATCCGGGCCTTAATGAGAAGAAAATAGTATATTCCAAAAAATTTACAATTTTCATTATTATTATTAGGTATATTTCAATTTGGTGAAAATATCATAAAAAGGAAACATCAATTCCAATGATCATTAGAAAGAATTAAAAACTAAAAACTCATACCTTTAAATTATATTTTGAGTAGTATATAATTAAACCAGATAAGAAAGCAAGAGCTGCAGTAGTACAGACATCATCATTTATGTTAATACTTTCTTCCAATTGGGATATTATAGGCTGACATACAATTTTTGAAAATAATGCTGAAATCAGATAGTAATACATTTAAAATACTACTTATATTCATTAAGAAAAAAGAACAGAAAAATAATTTTAAAAATTTTATTACACTTCATATTCCTGAAATCTAATAAGTTAGTAGTTGTAGAATGTAAATATTGCCAGATGATTGAAAGGAAATGCTTGCTTGGATGATTAAAAGATAAGTAATTCAATACTGAAAAAAAATAAAATTTACAGTAATTGAACTAAATAAAAATAAGAAGTAAAGTTTAAACTAAGCATATAAATATAAGGTGCATCCCATAAATGTATAGACATTAATAGAATTCTGTATAAAATCATTCACACTGAAAACTTTGCAAAAAGAATTTAGTTTTGGCTTGCTTGGACTTTCACAAATGCACATATAAAAATGATAACAATTTATTGAGACAGAAAAAAATGAACAATAATTTTAAAGAATTATAATATGCCTGTCCCAAAAATTTAAAAGCATATAACAAAATTAACTAAAACAATAATGACATGTTAATAAATTATATTTAACACTAATAATTCAATGAAACCTCCTCTGGCTAAAATAACTGTAAATGTGGTCTAGCACTGATTGTATGAAGTTTTAGAGGACAGATGAAGTTTTATTTCTTCATAGTGATGAATTATGGCTTATTTTAGTTCCTCCAAACTAGTATATTTCTGCCTATTCAAAGATACAGCTCCAGCTAGAATCCATAAAGATTTTCTATCAGATTAAGATCAGGAGATGGTGCTGGCCAATCAATAACAGTCATCCCATTAGCTAAAAACCATTCATATGTAGAGTTTGCTGTGTGAATGGGAGCATTGTCCTATTGAAAGAATCATTAATTCCCATCATTACATTCTACAAAAGGCAAGAAATTGCTTGCTGATATGTCTTGATAATCATTTGCTTTTGTAATGTGATTTTTTTTGTAATGTTAGCAACATCATACTCTAATATTACTGCTAACTTCTGAAATTATGTTTTGCTGATGACAATCAGGCAAACAATGATTTGTTCTGTTTGTAAATTTTGAAGGGCACCCCTTTGATTTATTTTGACCATATTGATCTCCTAGTTTAATAAAGTTGTTGATTACAGTGGGTGACCTATTTAATTTTTTAGTAATTGTTCTTGCAGTGTAATTTTTACCTCTAAGAGCAAGAATTTCACCTGTCTCCTAAGTCTGTCAGGGGTCTGCTTTGGACTATTGTAAAATTAGTGATTCTAATCAACTAGTCATTTCTAATAGTTTCTGCTGAATTCATGTTGACTTCTGGTATCTTAATATAAACCTGCCTTTATATTTTTGGGACAGTCAACTTTAAGCTAATTATTTAAAATTGTTTTCTGTTTTAATAAATTATTATTTTTTAAATATATGATTTTAAACGTTTAAATAAACTAAAAATAAAATATGCAAAATTTTCCATGTGAATGATTTTTATATGGAAATCTATGGGTGTCTTTATATTTATCAGATGCACCCTAGAGGAGCAGACTGAATCACTGAAGCTGTTAAAGCTTTAGCCTTCTACTCTGGGGACCCAGGAATGAAATTCTAGATGGTTTAACTCAGTTTAACCCAGTTTAACTCATTCCTCACTATAAAAATTTAAGGCATAACTTAATATCAATTAATAAAACTTAATTTATGTCATCACTCCCAGTTTTTCATAAATGTATTAACTTTAAGGACAGAAAAACAGTCTTGTATGCATGGCAATGCTTTTATGAAAAACTGGGGAGTGGCAACATAAATTAATTTTTATTAATTGATATTAAATTATGCCTTAAATTTTTATATTTACTACTTTTTAATTTTTGTTATTATATAGCGTTATGTTTTTCTGTTCAAATTTTTAAAAAATAATATTTTAAAAAAAAGTTGTTATGAGCATTTCAATTTGGAATTTTGTTAATTTAAACAACTACAACTACAACTTGTAACTTTATTTCTCTTCATTCCCGTCTTAGCAGGAACTCATGTATTGTTATCATTAATTACAGCCAAACTAGTTTGTTCTAAGAATTTTTCTTAGAACAAACTAATATAAAAATAAATATAAAAACAAAATACTTGCATAAACATGTCATATATATGACATGGCATGTATTTGCAAGTGTTATTTTCAATATAGTCAGCACAATGATTAATACCTTTATTCCAACAAAATACTAGGTTGGAAATATGTGAAATATTTGTTGTTTCATGTTAACCATAATTTTCATGATATGATGAAATTCAGTCATTATGAAAAGTTGTTCAGTGAAAAGTTGTTGAAAATTATTTTTCAACAACTTTTCACTGATGTACAATTATCATCATCTATAATTGATGATCCATCATTATGTTGGGAAATCAGTAAAATTGTAAGTTTTCTGATAATGTATGATTGTTGGGACAGTGGAGGGATCGAGATAATCATGTGTGGATATGATTTACACACTGAGACTGGTCTCCCATTCACTTCTTCCCATTTAATAAAATAAAAAAAAAATGTTCTTACAAAATTTTGCTATAGTTGCCTTTACAATTCTCCTTTGATTAGTCTGTTTGAGAAGTGAGTCCAAAAAAACTTAAAATGTTGCAGTGAATGTATTCACTCAGTCTCTCATTGATCGTCTTCTAAAGAATTGATGGCCTCAGGGCATGCTGAAAAGTTCAGATCCAAACTGGTATGTGATGTTGAATGGTGTATTCTGTTGCAGCTGGATGTTTGATCACACAACAAAGAAAACTTGAATCTAGTGTTTTCTGGTAGATCCTGGACCAGTCAAAATATGACAGATCTCAAAGAAAAGAACAAATAAAAAAAAACAAAAAATGAGTTTTTAAAGAGTTTCTCTCCTCTATTCCGCATTCTGATTGGTCTTCCCTTGTCTTCTGGTGACAATTCGAAACCTTTCATGGCTTGGGAGAGGTTGTTATCAACACTTAACCCAATCCCAACTGGCTAAAATTCCTTTGAACTTTGAAATTCTCCTCTGTAAGTTTATCTTTTGTTTTTCTTTTTCACAGAAAGAATCTCTTTATTGTTTTCGTGAGACTTTATGCTTTTGCTTCGGTTTTTATTTTTGAAAGGTGAGAGTTTAACTGTCCCACCAGATATTTGTTATCTTTAACACAAAATTTCAAGTTCAAGAATGTGAAAACTTTATTAACACAATTATCTAAGAAGTTAAGGCATATACTGATTATTTTTAAAATTTGTAAGGAATTACTATTGCTAATATAAATTACACTTAAAATAGGTCTATTATATCACAACCAAATTGTTTTGTTAAATTGCAAATTGCATATTCACAAAATTATATTTAAATAAAAGATTGTTATTCTATATATTACAATAAAAACCTAAAATTTGTTGTAATTAGTTTTAGCTAGGTGAAAAATCACTCTCTAACTATATCACGTACTTATATTTAAAGTTAAATTAATTTCAATAATCATTTTTTTCAAGTAATCATTAGAAAATTTTCTGCTTATAGAATTTAATACAGGAGCAACCAATTGTTTCTATTTATTATACAGCTATACCATATATACACTGTTTATAAAAAAAATCAAGAATGAAATTAAATATAAACAAATTATACAAGTAAATAGTAAATTCTATTCCATTATAATTATATTTATTTAATTTTAATTAATTAATTACCTTGGAAAATAAGCTTTAAATCATCTTGAGATGTAGATATACTTAAGTTGTTATTTTGTTGACACCATACTAATAAACCTAACAGTGATTTTATCTTCATTTCTATAGCTGTTAAAAATGAAAATATTAAAATTTATTTATTTACTTAATCAATTAAAATTTAAACCTGTAAGTTTCAAAAATAAATAAATGTAAAGAGCTTTAAAAAAAAAAAGAATATAATAATGCTTACTTCAGTTTTATTTTTATATAAGATTAACATTACCTATATTTTCTTTTGAATTAATATTCATAAAGCATTTCACTAGAATATAAGGTAATTTGTTGACCAATATTTCAATTATTCTAAACAGTGTATTATTTCCACAGTCTCTGTCTTGAATTTTCTAAGTTTTACAATTTTTCAGTAGATAGAAAAATAATAATATAATACAAAATTAAATTAATTTAATTATTTTTATTTAAATAACTTAATTTCAAAATAATAAAAATGTTTAGTTTCTAAAAAACTTTTGTTTTCCATTATAATATTCTACAGTAAGGTTTTACAGTGACAAAATTTTATTTTATTGTTTTTGGTACTTCAAATTTGTTACCATACTATATACAGAAGGACACATTTGTAGATAAGCAATAAGAATAGTCATTCTGAGGTTGCTGTAAATTTAAAATTTATTTACAAATAATACTTAAAATGAGAATGTAAGTGAGGAATAGATAATTTATCTTTATAAAAGTACATAAATACTAAATTATTCTATTTTGAGGAATTGCACACAATTTAGGTAACTTTCATATATAAAGCAATTATAATCAATTAATTTTTTATATGAGAAAAAAATAGAATATGTGGTTCACAATTTTTTAAAATACCAAACATAATAAAATACAATTTTATCACGTACACTTTATTTCAATATATTCTGTTATTATTTAAGTTTTGTAGGAATTAACTATAGTTAAATCTCTTTTACAAATTTTTTGTATATATTTTTATGATTTCTATATTTTAATTGTTGGATAATTTAAAATATATTTTTGTTATAGTTATTCAGTTAGTGAATTTGAATTGCCTGATACTTTTTATCATTTATAAATTTTTAATGATGTAACCACTAATTTTTTCTTTATATAATAAATGATGAGATTAGCTTTTCAATTACAAAATTGTTGTTTATCATCAAATATGTGCATTTGATTTATAATATACTTATTCATTTGATTATAATACCAAATTTAAACAAGGGCCATGGAAGAAAGTTTTAGTGGGACCAGTGCTAGCTTAAAAGTGATATTAAATTATTCTTATTTGATATCTTCTTTGATTTTTAGCAGGGTAAAAGTGGGTGGCCCATGGCCTACTCAGACTTTCTGTACCAATGAAAGAAGTACAGTAGAGTCCTGCTAGTCCAAACTAATTGGAACTGAGTCCTGTTTGGATTAGTCAAATAATTGAAATAATGCAGAAGCAAGCAGTAAAATAGGTCTAGTTTATGTAAATTCAACACCATCAATGATGTCAGAACCCCACCCTTTATTTCTTCTGACTTGTACTCAATAGAGGGTGCAAACGGTTAAGAAAAACAAGTTTTGTAATTTTGAAATGGCAACCTGCCTTCATTGTTTACCTTAAAATTATTTTAACTGTAAAAAATGTTGTTTTTAATACACAATCCAGGATTCCAATCAGTTGACTGATGCTACTGTGTGAGTTAGCACACTTAATTGTGGATGTTGAATGTATCTTTGCTCTATGTTATTTTAGTTTAGTTTAGTCTGCTGCTACAATAGCCACAAAATGGAAATACACAATGTTGTACATTGAAAGATAAGCTGGACATTTTGGAAAGGCTGGACAAGGGTAAAAGTGCAACAAAATTGACAGTACAGTTTGGAGTGGGTAAAGCCACAATAACTGACAGTAAAAAACTGCACAAAGATCGAGCAGTTTTGTGCCTCTACTTCAGAAAAATCAGTTGAAAATCGACAAACATTAAGACCCTCAATGTTTGACAAGCTTGATGAAGTCTTATTCACATGGTTCACTCAGGAAAGAGAAAAGGAAACACCTCTAAGTGGACATCTTGTTAGAGAAAATTTCCTCTCTGCTGACTTAAACATGTTCAGGTTAGACAGACGTTTGGATTAGTGGTATTCTGACTAGCAGGACTCTACTGTAGATTTATGTTACTTGATAATGTGATTATAAATAAAACAATTTTGCATAAGTTTTTGATAAATATAATCAAAATTTGAACCTTATAATTCAAGAAAATAATTCAAGCTCTAATGAAAATGGAATTGATGCAGTTATGTCAAGTGTAGTTATGCAGTTATGTGTAGTGTGGGTTTTCCGACCTTTACTCGCCTAGGAGTCGACCTTGAGGTTAAAGGTTACGACTCTCGCTTTGCCTGCGATCTGTCAGGATGATGTGAGAAAGCCTTTTTACGTATGGAGGTAGTGGTTTGCTGGACGCAAATATGACTCACACAGAGACCATATTTTCAAATTACACTGCGTTTATTTAAACAAAGACATCATGCTTACAGATAAGGCCAAAAGGGTGTATTCTAACTGTCTTGCAGCCTCAGATGATCCTGGAAGTGCGCACCAACCAGCAAGTGTTCATCCTGGTTTCCAGTGAAGTTCTCCACAGAATCAGATGCGGGAGGTCCAGGAGGAAAGAGTTATCAGGAAATTGGGTCCCTTATTTTTCTTGTACTCGGAGTCTTTAGTCTTCTGAGTCTGTGCTTCATCAGTGTCTTTGGGATTTCTTCTTTGTCCGTTGTCAGAGTATCTGCAGTCCATGCACAAGGATTAACTGCTTTAGAACACCACCTCCCTGTGTCCTTGGGACCTCAGGCTTTTATAACATTTTTTTCCCAAAATCCTGAGGTTTTGATTTGTCTGAACGGTGGGCCCCTGTAATTTTGTTGGTCCCTAGTCTGTTGCCAGGGATGCAATTCAAGCCGCAGGGTTGCCAAACATCCCCATCTGGGCCATTCCCCTCTGGAGTCAGGTCAAGCCCTTCCCCGGATGACAGACCAGTAAATTTTACCTAATGTGTATTTTCCTGTCCCGGAGAATATGCAGCTGTCCCAGACGCCGCCTCCTCCACAGGAGTGTCAGCAAGTCCTGCTTTGAACTCTCTGTAAGGTGACCATCCAAAGTTACCATGGCGGACGATCTCTCTCTCATTCTCATGATGTACAATCTAGGATCTGTCAATTAGGTCTGGAATGCAACAATTAAATCGTCTTGCACCCCATTCCTTGATCACACCGGTCCCGTTTATGAAATAAGTCACTAATTTAATGGCTTCAACTCGACATCAGTTTCCCATCGGGAGGTGATGTCCTGGTCTCACAGTAGTCATTTCTGTATTTTCTATTAAAAATATCATTTGAAATCAATTTTCAATACTAAATAATATGAAATCATATGAATTAACCCAACTGAAAGAACTAATATTAAATAATCAAATGATAAGTTATCTATAATAATTTGTTTTGTATACAGGCCTGGGAGTGCTATTTACCCTCTGAAAAAGTGAGAAAAGTGAGTTGAAATACAGAAAAAGTGAGTAAAAAGTGAGTGCAATACAGGTAGCCCTCGGTTTACGCCGGCTCAATTTACGCCAANGAATTGTCAATGGAGACACTGTGATTGGAAACAACACTGGTGCTTTGTTTTTTTTGGAGAGAGATTTTGGTGTTTCAGGCATTAATATGAGAAAATTATATCATTTTACTTTTAAAGTAGTACCCTACTTTATTATTAATTGCCAGAATTGAACCTAACATGTAACCTTTATCAAGAACTCTGGGGGAAAAAGATTGTCCAAAGAGAACAATTGGTAAAACTGTAGATGAAGAATTGAGTGTAAGAGAAACTTATATTTTTTGCATTTTATTCATGATTATGCTTTAACATTTTCTTCTGGTAGGAAAAAGAAGGTACTTTTGCTATATTTAGGACTTTTCCAAACACTGAGATGTTTTAAAATATCTGAAAAGCCTAAAAACAAAGTGATGTCTTTGAAGTTTCTAGTGCATTCCTGATAATTGCATTCTAAATTTTCAATTAAATTTGAAAAAATATTTATCAATATTAAACTAAATTGTATAAAAAACTTTCATACCAATTTTTGTAAGTATATTTTCAAGAAACTACTCATATCAATTGAATCTTCAATGGAATTGATAGCAAATAACTCCTAAATGAAAAAAAAAAACTATTAAAAATAAATTCACTTTTAAAGCATAAATCAAGAATATAAATTTCTAAACTTACTATAAAATTTTTTTGTAGTTTTGTGTCTTTAAAAATATTCTCAAAAAGAAATTCCATATCAGAACTTTCTTCGTCATCAGCTGTTTTATAAATTTTACAGTTTTTTAGCCATTCATATATCTGAATTAAACAAATTAGAATTTTAAAAATATTAATTAAATTACTTATTAGTTTTTAAAACAATATGTAAATAATAAATACAGAATAACAATGTTTTTAATATAAATGTCATAAAGACATTTAATTCTCTACATTTGATTTTCTGATTATACTCTAAAATATATTCTAAAAATGTAATTTTACAGCTAATTTTTATTTCTTATTTGTTAAGTTATAAATAACATGCAATATGAATTAAATATTACCTTTAAAAAATGTGTTTGTTTTTAAAACAAATGCATTGATTCAAAAGTGAATATGTGAACTAATAAGTTTCAGTGTAAGACAGTTTATTGATTTGTTTAGTTTGTTTTATACATTTTTTGGATAGTTTAATTTTATATATATTTTTGTTTTATGTAAACTCTAGGAAATTAAGAATTATTATTATTATTATTTATATTTTCATTATTATGAAATTACAACAATAACAGTTAGGTGTTGAAGGTTGAAATTTGGTACACAGTTAGGGTACATCATGAGAATGTAAACTAAGAAGGGCTTTTTTGAAATTCCCTGCGTGGGGAGAGGTTGTTAACACTTCCTCGCGGGAGAAGTGTTAACAATGGAAGTGTTAAATAACAATGAAAGTGTTAAGAGAAAGTGATGTGCAAGATTTACAGGCACAGATGTGGTTTTTTTGCCTTTTTGTGCAGGGCTGTGGAGTCGGAGTCGTGGAGTTTTGGTGTTTTAGCCGGAGTCAGAGTTGTCAAAAAATCCGCCAACTCTGACTCCTTTTTACTTACCAACTTATTATGTATATGAAACGGAGTCGGAGTCGGTAGATTTTTATGCGACTCCACAGCCCTGTTTTTGTGGGAAATCAAACATATTTTTAAACCTATCTAAAAATTTTCTAATTAGTCTGGAAAGAGGAGGACCTAATTCTTGCATTCTGTGAAAAGGGTAAGATTGGCTATAACATAATAGTATTAACCTTTGCTATTGTTACTTTTTGCCCGAGCTTATCTGCTAGTAATTTAATAAATAAATAGTAGTAAATATTTTAATAATACTCTAATTTTTACTTAATTTCTAATATAATTTTTCTCTCTGAATAAAGAATGACTAATTAGTATCAATGTAACTTACAATAAATTTTAAAAAATCACCATCTTCATCTTTAAATAAAATAGTCCATAAAAGTACATCTTTATGATGAGTATAAGTAAGACTTGGATTTTCAAGCTGCAGTATGGCCTTTTTAAGCTTTAATGAAGCTAAAATTTATAAATTAATGTTTAAAAATATAGGAATTCTACATAAAAATTTCAAAATATTAATTTCTATTATGCATGAAGAATAAAAATTATTAATGCTTACTTTTATTTTTACTATTTTAGAATATTTTGTTTTTAAAACATGATAAATCATGCTTTGAAAACAAATATTCCAAATGCTTTACAATTCATAACAAAATAATAATAAACAAATATGTATAATAAAAATTAAATCAATCAATCAATCAACATTTATTTGCTATGGCTTTCGCCTTTACAAAGGGGTTACAAGATCGTGTAACATTAACAGATACAAACATTATTATACATGGCTTCAAAAATGTTAAAACTTAATTAATAATGTTATGTTAACATGTTTAATAAATAACAGAAAAATTTATAAACTTTAAATAACATGTCAGAGCTTAAATTATCATCGTATAAACAAAACATATCAAAATCAGTTGTCAATAAAGTATCCCTTAAATGTTCAGTAATTTCACAAGATACAAATAAGTGGTTTTTAATACTTTCACAGAATCGGTTACATAATGGGCAGTTAGAATGGGCAGAAATATTCATTCTACACCTATTTAATACAATAATATAGTCATTAAGTCGCAATTGAATTATCAAGGATTTAATATTATAATTTAAATTTGATAATAAATAATATTGGAGGTGTCCATGGAGCTATTAAGGAAATCTCGAAAAACCTACTCTTTTGCTCAATATATTGAATATCTTGAGCCCAATATTTATCTTTTAATAACTGAAATATTTCAGTCATAAAAAGGTTTTTATTTGAGACCTGAACATAATAATCAGTAGAATAACCCAATTCAGACAATAAGTTTTCAACTGAGGAGGACCAAGTTACAAACGAAGAATTTCCAACTATTAATTTCAATTTGTTATAAATCAACTTTCTAATAAAAATTAAATATTTAAATTTAATTTTAATTTTATTCTTGTTTTTCATCAATAAGCTAATTGATGAAAAACAAGAAACTAAGCTTTAACTCTATTTTGATACTAGAATTACATTTTATATTTCTTAGTTCTTTTTTAATATATTTGTCAAATCTAAATTTTAGTTTGTATATAAATCTTGTAATGTCTCAATGCTGCACTATCCAGAAATTATTACTATATTTAACTATTCAAAAGTGGGTATACTTAGTAAACAAAGTACATGAAACCAATCTCAACTAGCACACTTTTATAAGAAAGCAAGTGTGTTTGACTTATTTAACAGGTATCATCAAGCTAACTAACCACAATTTGAATGCAGCTGTTAAAATAAGAGGACTGCCATCCACATGTTAAAAGAGGAGTGAAAGAAAGGAAGGAGGAGGGATGTAAGATTAAACTTTGTACATCAACTTTTAACATGTGAATGGCAATAGCCTTGTTTTAATAGCTGCATATGAACTGTAAAGGTCAGTTAGCCAGACAATGCCTGTTTAACATGGTCAAAAATGTTTTGCTTTCTTATAAAATTGTGCTGGTTGAGACTGGTTTCATGCACTTTGTTTACTAATTATTAATAAATCATTCAAGCTAAGCTGAATACAATTCTATCACAATCCACTTACAAAAGCTATAATATTCCAATTTACATTTTTAATGTTGCTTAATACAATATTACATATGTATAAAACTATAATCCTGTCTGCTGTCTTCTATGGCTGTGAAACATGACCCTTCACAAAACATCAATTAACAGAGTATTGATCTTTGAGACGATATTATGCTGCATTTTTGGACCCATATGGGACAATACCATACAGCACTAGCAAAGAAGATATAACAAAGAGATTCATGAAAAATACAAGTAGCCCAAACATCATTCAATTAATCACTTCATGATGGCTAAGAGGGCAGAACAACTAGCCAGAACAGAGGAAAGCAGACATACAATCAAATCCTAATGGGTGTCCCCTACACTCCAATAGACCAGTAGGTAGACCACCTCTAAGATGGGAGGATAATGTTAAAAAAGATGTATAGCAGCTACAGGGAGATGATGATGTCAATTGGAAAGATATAGTGCAAGACAAAAATAACTGGAAGAAGATTGTCTTGTAGGCAAAGGACCCTAGTAGTCTAAACTTAAGCCATTGATGATGATGATGATGATTTTGAATCAAATTAAATTTTGTACCAAAATCAGTTATAAGAAATGAATACTTTATCTTATCATATAACTCTTTTTAATAGAAATATGTTTAACTACCTATGAATAATCAGATTTCTCGAAATATTTCAAGATCAACGAACAAAGCTAATCCTTAGTCACTACTACAAGTTTCAACAAGGTAACAACTCTGTGCATAATGCATTTTTACTGTACATCTGTAACTGTTCGGTCAAAGCTACAATAACTCAAGGCCAAAGAGGCCATTGTATGTAAATATTCTTATTGTAATTCCTTGTTCTGTGCACACTTTGTGCACACAAAGTCTCTTAATGTCACAACAGAATATTGTCTCGGTTGAGTTGGCCAAGTAATTACTTTGTAAATATGTGAATTACGTTCTGTCCAATTACTTTTCAATAATGTTGACACAAGACACCATGAAACTCTCCCACCCACTTTACTCTTTCCTATCCACCCCTCTCACTTCTTTTCCTTACCCCCCTCTTCCCACCTTTCACTCCAGGTCATACCTTGAGTGAAAGGTATGACCTGGTTTTCTACATCTATTATCTATCAGTAATAGTGTATTTTTCACATTTCAAATATATCAAATAGATTTATAGCATAGTTTTTAATGTATCATTTGATCTTATTTGATCACTTAAAATTGTTTTGTCAATTAATGTTAATTGACATCAATTAGTTATAGGAAATTCATCAAAAAATACTTCATAAGTGACATAATTTCATTAATTGATATCATCTCATACCATTTAGTTATTTGAAACTGTCCAAAAAACTACTTCAGATATGATATTTAGACTAGATACATTCTGCATAACAATAAAAATAGAGACTGAATTTTAATGCTTTATGAGGTTTGTCATATTCACAACCATGATCATCAGATTATATTACATACTTTATCATTTGCTGATATTATATAATGTTGTGAATGATAAAGATTGGTTTATTGTATAGTTCTATTGTTCAATAAATTAATCCTATCATTCGTAACATCATATAAGTACTTGTATGTTATACTGATTGATGTAGTGGTGCACTTAATATTTAATTTTGGGGGAGCAGAGTTGAATGGATAAAAAAGTTTTTAATACAAACTCAATAAAACTCCCACCCTATGTGACCACTAATTCATAAATGATAAATGATATAGAACACATGACACAATATAAATAAAAAATGAATTTTGATTAGGTAAATATTTTTGGAAAATTTACTAGTGTTTCTTCACCTTTTACTTTGGGAGGTGTCAGAGCCTCTTGGACTATTCTGAGTGTGCTACTGGATTGATATGAAATATACTGATAATATATAGTTCCATATATCCATTAATGTGTGCTGTGACAGTGGATATAGATTTTTCTAATTCATTGTTAATTACAACAATTATCTGTTGTACTGTAATATAATTTATATACAATGTGATAGTACACAACAGACCTTTTAGGTCAAGGGTCAAGGTGCATTTAGCCTACAATCCCTCCAGTACAATGGACCACAGATATTTATAGCCTTCATATCACCTTGTAGTCACAATATTCTTTTTGTATTTGTTAATTTTCCATGTTGTAGTTGTTATAAATCTTTGAATGCATTAATAAAATGGGTAAATTTTTCTATCTATACTAATATTATCATATAAAGAGGTAAAGTTTGTAAGTTTGGATGTAGGAGGTAATCTCCAAAACTACTCATCCAATTTCAAAAATTCTTTCACCAATATTTAGAATGGACCTTCAGGGTGGACATAGGCTGTATATTATTCTGTTAAACATTCATATAAATTAAAAGATATCATCTAGGTAAGCATTATATTTTTGGTATCAGTGGGTGGTGAGGGGCAAGATGCGTACATATATGAGAAAGGTAACTGCACGGTGCAGTCACATGGTCAGCGAGATACGCAGTGCACGTGTCCAAACTTGTACTGAATATAAATGGAGTTTGCTTGCAAAATCTGCACAGAGAAGTTGTGGGTAATAGCTAGTTATTTATAATTATGTTCCAATATATGAACTGAGATGATACATGAGATATCTTATTGTCATACCGCTAGTGAAATCATTGAAATATCCATAAATATTTTAGCAATCGACTTTCATCAGAGTTAGATTAAGATCAATAACTATGGTTCCCTTAATCTAATGCATTTGGCTGCAGTCCTGAAAAATGTGTCTAAGAAAGGTTATCACTTTTCCTGTGATATCCCCAAACACATGATTTTGGTTATTAATAAATCCAACACTGGCTCTCATGTTTTAAGATATGTAAAATTACATCTGTAATGCCATGTGGCATTTTTAACTGTAACCTAAGAATATGGACATAATTTTTGTTTATTGTATTTAATTTAAAATAGTAAACATTTTCTGTATACACAATACAATTTAATAAATAATTTTGAATATTTTTTTGAATATTTTTATAATTTTTTTGAATATTTTTTGAATAAATAATTTTGAATAATTTTTTGAATATTTTTAAAATAAAATAAATATTTTATTTTAAAAATATTCAAAAAATTTAAATACAGTCAACCCCCTTATAACAATGTTGATAATTCCGTTTTATATGAATTCCATGTTGTACGAGTCACTTAGATTTTATAAATATGTGTGCCAGGCTTTGAACAACTCATGTATTTGTAAAATCTAAGTGACTCGTACAACATGGAATTCATATAAAACGGAATTATCAACAGTGTTATAGGGGGGATCGACTGTATTTCCATACAAAACCTACTACTTCATCTTCTGTTTATGTTACTGCTCTTCTGTATTTGAGAGCTGAGCAGTGATTATAAAAAAAAAAATTTATATATGGATCCATATTAAATTTATGCAGTGATCTACTATTTAAAAAACATTGCCTAATGTTTTACTACAATATTTATATATACAATGTTTTACTGTTAAAGGTATTCTTTTTACATTAACAGTATTCATAATACTAAAATCTTCTTCAGCCATGGTAAAGCTTCAGCCTTCAAAAATAAAAAATATCTTTAATTTTTAGTAAAAAGAATCTTTCTATCAGGTTTCTAAAATCATTAATACTTATATCGTATTTTATAATGTAACTTAATTTTTTTATTTTTTCCTCTTCATGCTATGAAGAAGAAATGTCTTCCATGTTTCCAGTTTCTGAATAATATATGTTTAATTAAAGAAATAGTGTGAAACTTACCATCAAAAAATTTTGTAAGTTGAGATTTTTAAATGGAGATGTGTACTTCTATTTAAAATTCTGGATATTTCAATTTTTTTATTTAGGAATATTCCAGAAATGTATAGTAAAATTATTAAAATCAAACAAACTATATGGATATTAAGATAAACATATAAGTACATATTTAGCTATATGTATATTATATTATATATATTTAATAAAATATTGAATATTAGATGAAAGTTTTACCTTGTTTAATTTCTGTACTTATCATATTTGTAGTTTTAATTTTTTCATTTACAATTATCTGTAAATAGAAATGAAAAATTTAGATAAACAGTGCAATCTGGACTGTTAATAAACAATATCTAATACAGTAATAAAAAATTAGTTTATGTACTTGAAATACAAAATTATTTTACATTACACTATTGAAATAAACAGAAAATAAATTTTTTCAGAATCTTAAAATTCTCAATATAAATCACTTGAGAATTTTAAGATCATATATTTTAAAAAATTAATTCAACTAGTAAAAGTAACGATGTCTCATAATCTGCCATTTATTCAATTAGAAAATCAATATATGTGAAAGTTCAACGTATGCAACATTACAGATTATGTTGTTTCAACTTCATCATCATACTATATATTGGATGAAAATCAAAGAGTATCTTGACTTTTTTTGCATATAACAATATTATTTAACAGAATTTGAGCAGCTTTAAGTGCTTAATTTATTTTCAATAACTGATCATATTATAGTCTCTCTAACATTTCTAATTTTTAAACAGATTTTTCTGTTTTTTGATATTTTTTTATATTTTGAAATCATAAAAAGCATAGTAAGAAAGAATCACTTCATATTTTAATATATATTGAGATTATTAGAGCAGTTGCTTATCATCAATTAAAGCAGGTTTCTAGGAATGCTTGACCAGATGAGACAAATTCAAAATCCATAAGTACAGATATAGATTTGTCACTCCAATAATATTTGCATAAAAACATTAGAATCTATTTAAGGCATTCTAAAATTCTTAAAGAATGCAGAAATTTCAAACTCATTCCAAAACCATGTGGCATTACTTAATTTTAAACTTACAATGGGGAGGGCGCTTGGATTGTCAAGTCTATTGGCAACTTTTTTCTCTCTACTTTACCAAAGGCATTTTTTCTTGTTAATTACCTTAATATATATTTTTTGTTCACTATAATGATTAATTATAAACTGATTTTGCTACTATTGCTAATGTCTGGCATAGAATCTAACCCTGTACCTCTGCAGAAAACACATACAAAAAGAGGAAGACCACCTACTAATCGTTCAAATCAACCACCTAACTATGCAAAATCATCTGAATCCGAAATAAATCTAATAACCGACTATACAGAAACAAGAAGAACAGTTTCTCCAAATACATCATGTGAGAATTCTAAATCTAATACAGTCGATCCCCCTATAAGATCATTGATTTTTCCGTTTTATCTGAATTACATGTTGTACGAGTCACTTAGATTTTACAAATATGTGTTCCGGGCTGTGAACGGCTCACATATTTGTAAAATCTAAGTGACTCGTACAACATGTAATTCAGATAAAACGGAAAAATCAATGATCTTATAGGGGGATCGACTGTAGTTTAACCAAGTCAACAAATCCAGAATCATCTGACATCACAACTGCAGAGTTATGGCTAAAGATAGTTGAACTTATTACTGCTAGCAACCAAAAGACAGATAACCAATTTATGCTTATTTGTGATGAAATTAAAAATATTCACACCGAAATTAAAGAATTTAAAAAACAACTACAATTGGTGAATGAAAAATACAAAAAAATTGAATTAGAGTTGACTAAACTGGGTACTTACAAAGAACAAATGCAATTTAGACTTGATGCTATGAATAATGCTATTAATAATAATAAGTTAATAATTTACGATTTTACAAATATTATGATAGATAAGAATCACAAAGAACTTTTAGACTTTCTAGCATTTGTTCTAGCAAATGCCAATCAATGAAAAAGAAGATATAAAATTTATTCATAATATACCCAATCCTAGAATTAATATTAAATGTATAACTTTAAAAACAGAACAACTATGCAATAATATATTGATGAATAAATTGGATATCCACTCAGCTTCTTTTTAAAAAATAAAACACTGAACACCTTATAACGCTGAGATATATTTATTAAAACACAAACGTTTTCAGCCTAATGTAATAGGCCATCATCAGGTGAATTTGCTGTCGAACACCTTTTGAAAATTCTGTTAAATGGAACTTTCGAACCTTATAAATTCAAAATTATAACGTAAAATAAATTAACCAATCAATACACAAAATAACTATAATAANTCATGTCGGATGTGTGTGTATCTATTCAGGTTTTGAATTGTGATATGTCTGACCATTATCCGATTTGCACTTCTTTTCAGATTTCAACTAAAACTGATTATGAGAAAAAATCTATACTTCATCAAATAATTCATTATAATTATCAAGACTTTTTTCACAAATTAGTGATTGTATCAAAACTACAATAAATAATGAATTATATAATGAAAACGAAAAATATATACAACTGGTAAATATAATTAACCAATTTATAAAAATCCGAACTTTAAAACAACAACAAATTTCTACATTTAAAAAACCCTGGTATGACTTCGACTGCTACACAGCAAAAAGAAAGAAGAATAAAGCCTTGCACCAATTTAGACAAAATTATTCAAACGAAACATTTATGAATTATAAAAAATTAAAAGCTATTTATTTTAATTTATTAAAAGCAAAAAATATCAACTATTTAAAAAATTTACATCATCAGTTAATTTCTACCAAAAATTCAGATTTCTTCTGGACTACAATACAGAAGCTAAGGAGGAAAAATTAGATCATCGAATAAATATAGAAACATCAACTTGGATTCAATTCTTTAACAGATTTCCAAATATAAATAATCCACTAACTCTAATATCCTTTAATCCGAATAATGATTTGTTTGATTTACCGTTTACTTTTGACAAACTTGAGGATTCAATCCGAAGAATGAAATTAAAATCTGCCCCTAACATTGACCTAATAACTTCCAAATTTATCAAATCCCTGCCTCCATCATGAAAACAGATTTTGCTTGTCTTATTCAACTTCTTTTATAAAATGTCTAAATACCCATAAATTTGGAACACAGTGAAATTAATTATGATCTACAAAAAAGGGCATCGTTTGGAACCTGAAAATTATAGACCAATTGCTCTTCTTCCAATGTTAAGGAAATGTTTCACATCTATTTTAGTAAACCATTTCCAGTGTTGGACCCAAGAAATGAATCTTAACTCTGAATTTCAATACACTTTCACCAAATCTAAGGGTACAGAATTTGCTATTTTCTTGCTATCCTCAATTATTCAAATATATTTACCAAAAAAATGTAGGAAAATTTATGCTGTATTCATTGATATCGCCAAAGCTTTTGACTCTGTTCATGTTCCGACTCTGGTTAATAAATTGAAACAATATGGTGCAGGTAACAGTTTTTCAAATTCAATTATGCATCTTTTTTCTTCTTATAAACTACATATTGTAAATAGCAATTACTTAGTCCAGAAATACTTACAAAACATGGAATACTTCAAGGTGAACCTCTTTCTCCATACCTTTTCAACTTCTACATAAATGACATAAACAACTTATTTGATAAGGATAATGAAGGAATATATATCAATGGTCGTATTTTTCACTATATTCTATACACAGATGATTTAGTACTATTAGCACCAACTTGCATAACATTACAACATAAACTCGATAGACTAAATAAATACTTATCGTCATTACATTTATTGATTAACGCCTCAAAAACAAAAATAATTATTTTCAGGAAAAATATTAAATTATCTAATCAAGAAAAAAACTTTTATCTAGACGGCAAACCTCTAGAAATTATCAGCAACATAAAATACCTGAGAATTACTTTTAGCTGGAATAAAGCTTTTCAACACCATTTTAAAGTACTTACTGCAAAAATTAACTCACTTATCGACAATACTATATAATTATGCTCAATGTTAAAAATATCTGACTTAAAACTTCACATAAAAATTTTCAATGCTATAGTTCTTCCTTCCATTTTTTATGCCAGCCCGGTATGGGCTCTTGATTTTTTTTTTTACAAATTCCAAAAATTTCATATTAAGTATCTACGTAAATTATTCAAGCTTGAGAGAACGGTACCAGGTTATTCTGTTAGTTGAATTCTATTTGTTTCTGCTCTATTTCCTTGGTTTTTAAAAAGATTAATAAGATTCTATTACTGACTTATAAATACAGATGATGAAAATATAAAATTTTTACAACAAAATATGTATAAATCTAATGTTCTAAATTCCACCAAAGATACTTGGCAATACAAATTCAATAATATACTTAAAACATATGAAATCTCAAGTGTTATTAATCTTGATTAGATAAATGTGACATAAATTGGAATAACGCCTATACACTACTGATGGAATCTGCCATATCGCAATCAATAACCCAGGATCAAAACTCAATATTGCAATCGGCTTATCACCCATGGTATTCTCAAATTTTAAAAATTCCTTCTGATTCCAGATTTATTATAACTGATATAAATATGAATATTAAATGATTATTCTTACAACTTCGTCTAAATAAATATTCCTTGTTGGTTAATAATACATATATAAACTGTTCTAAACAAAAGTTCTATTGGTGTAAATCAGAAAACTTTTCTATTCTTCATTTGTTGAAAGACTGTACAGCTATTAAAAAATATCGTCAGAAATATCAAATAACAGAAATACTTGGCATGAACCACGATTTAAATTATATGTTAAGAATTGAAAATTTATTAAAAAATGATATGTATAAACTTAATAACTTTTTCATCCAGATTACTAATATATTTAATAATTATCTTGTGAATTAATATTTAGATAATATTATGCAATTATAACTTTTTATGTATATTTTCTTCTATTTCTGTTAAAATTATTTGTTAAAAAAAACAACATAAGATGTAAAACAAACTACTACGATTTTTTCATGTATAAAATAACCCCCCTTTTTCCTTAGTACAATAAAGCTTTGATTGATTGATTGATTGATTTTAAACTTACAATTAAAACTTTGAGTCATGGAGAAAATTACTATATATATATATAAAGTTATTAATTAATTGTACTATGGTAATTTTCTCCATGACATAGAAATATGTATATGTAACTTAAAAATGATGCGTTTTTGAATACTGATATTCATTGAAAGATGTAGCATCATATCATCATATAAAAATAAAAGTAAAAACAAAAAGTAAATGTAATGAAAACTTAATTCTAGAAAATTTCATTATAAATTTTTGAATGAAACACATATTTAAGAAAAGCAAAGAATTTTTCTATATTACAAATATCAAAAATTTATAATGATATTTTCAAACAATATCAAATAATTTATTAGTTATTAACTATTTTTAAATTACTTACTGCTATTAAGAATAACAGAAGTTTACAAAGAAATGGATTTACAGAAACTTCAGAAATATTTCTTATGAAAATAATTAGATGCAATTCAAGAGAATATGTTGATAAAATTCTAGATTAAAAAAAATATATATAATTATTAATATTTTCATAATTAATTATAAATAAATTTTAAGTAAAATCAAAAAGAAAACCTTATATAAAATCTACATAAAAATTAGTGATTCAACTATATTAAAAAAAAAAAAAACAGTATACAAACATCAGTTTTAAATTAAATATTCAAGATTTTTCTTTCATACCATATAAATATATGCAATGCATAGCCATATTAATCAGTCATTAGCATTACAAAAAGCTAGTGTAATGTGCAATATCTCTAGTTATGATTAACACTCATAATTATACTTACAAATTCATAGGGTCACTGAGAGGAGAATTTTTTTTCCAGACCCACCAAGTTTTCTATGAACTTAGGGCCCTTAGTGGTTCTTACTCTTATAAATTAATGTTTTTTTTTTTAATTTTTTAGTAATAAAAAATAAAAGCTTTAAGATTGTTTTTATTAATAAACTTATTTCATGTACTTCATTTTATGTTAAAAAAATGGCAAAATAGGTCTGCTCTACCTTGGGTCCCATACAAGCTCTCTATGGCCCCAAATATAAAAAGGAGTGCAGTCACATGATACAACATCTTAATCCCACCAAAATAACCATCTGCCATATTGGTTGCAAATTTTGCATTACCTCACTCATTTACTATGTCAATGTAGAAGAAAGGAATTTTGCCTGGCTATGTGAGTGATTTGAAAGGTAATTATTCAAAAAAATATAAAGAGAAAGTTTCTTTTATTAGTTGGGATCTATATGAAATACAAATGATGGATTTTTCATCCAATGATCTAACTGGTCTTTAACATTTGCATTCAAACTGTAAAGTTTGAATGCAGCTGTTAAAACAAGGGGATTTCCATTCATGTGTTAAAAGGGGGGAAGGGGATGTAAGAGAAAGAGAGGAGGGGGAGAGGGTTGTAAGATTAAACTGTATAGAATGACTTAGAGAATCCACTCAGGGAGGAAGGAGTCTACATCTTGAAAGTCCATAGCTGTATTTTTTCTCATGGCTTTGTAAATTTTGCTGGAGATTGATTTTGTGTGCTTTATTTATTAACATCAACACTGGGTTGATGTTATGTCCCCTAAGGCATTTAGGGTACATAACATCAACACTGGGCAGATGTCGATCTAAAACTTAAAACAGGTTAGTTAACCATTGTATAACTATTGTAGTAATTTACCGATGTAATAATTAAATTTACCAAATTTATAGAAATGTAAAAATCCTGAAGAGGGGTGCAAATTAAAAGAAAATATTGCACCCGAAATGCATAGAAAATAAATAAAGAATACGAATAAAAGCTTTGTCTCTGATTAAATGCGGTCCAGGCAAAAAAACGGGGGTTATTTATGTACAATTAACCCATAAAGTTTTTTCATCAATTTTGAGGAAATATTTTTGAAAAATTGATTTTTTAAAAGTAATATAAAGTAAACTGCACCATGGATATATACATATCTATTACTTATAGCATATAATACTGTTGATAAAAAATATAATACTGTTGATAAAAACTAGTCCCCTTATTTTGACATTCAGCATGAAATTGAATCACAAAGCACTTTTCAGGAAAAACAGCAGCCTGTCAAGCTCCTATATGATGGGAGTTTTGTTCATCCACACACCTAGCCATGTCATTATGTCATGTGGCAAGTTCGGACAAGAAAGCTGGAAGTGACATTGAGAATCAAAGGCAGTTTTCATACAATGCCACTCAGCATTTCCAGATTGGGGACTTTTTTGGAGTGACATATTTTTTTTTTCACTTTGACCTTTGTTCAGTACACTAAAAATGTTGACATGACAGAACATGTAAAATACTGTTTAAGCACTATGATCAAATATGGTAGTTGTGTGAGTAGCAGGGGGTCACTGGGTCGAACCCTAATGACCGCTTAATCTGCACGGGTCGGAAAGACCCACTCTCGGTTGTCGGATGGCAATAGGAGGGCTACAAAATATGAGTGGGGAGGAGTCGGAAGTCGCAATCAGGTGTCCAATTGATTACACAGGTTTCAATTAACGAACACATTTAATAAACAACTATGAAAATTTACACAAGATACTAAATACAACATACGCGTATTAAATAGGTATTCTAAAATCTATTCTAACCTAACGCTAAAATCCGAGAGAGAGCTCACGTTAGAGAGAGATAAATTATAATGGCAAGGGTTTACCTCGAAGGCAACGTTCTTCCGATATAGGGCGTTGATAAAACACTCTGTGATAATCCGAGGTGTCCTTTGAAGGCAATGTGAAGCGATGTCCTGTTACGGTGTATACTCCGTCGCTCCCAATATGTAGAGTTCTTCCTTGACGAAGTTCTTCGGAGGTTTCTTCAATCAACCTCTCCGAGGAGTAATTCCGTCGTATATGGAGAGAATAGAAAATAAGCAAAGTCCTTTACCTTTCATGGAGCGGCAATTATGAGCTTCTTAGATCCTGAGAGTGCTGGAAGATCGTGCGACGATCGCTCTTCAGGTTTGCAGAGGGGTTTCTTCGGCTTCTGGCTCAGCGCCGAGTAGAAAATCCGACCCCTTTTTATACTCGATCAGCGTGGGAAAAATCTGAGAATTGTTGACGTCTTTTGACAGTTCTCCCTGATTTATGACAGTCTCCTGCGCCGTAGAAAAACTTATCTCCTTATTTGGTCATTTTTATCGTCCGGTCGCTCGGACGTATGGGGGTCACGTGACATCGTGGTCCCTCGTCGATGACCTTCGGACGACGAAAGTCACCCTCACTAACTACGCAGTTAGTGTGAAAATAAAAAACATCGTTCGTATTCTCACACTTGGTATTATTAATTAAAAAATTATACAAAAATGATTCCTATTTTTATGTGACAGCTTAACATAATACTTTTGCTTTCCAGACTCCAAACTGATAAGGTTACAAGCACTTGCACTAATTAATAAGTAAAACTAGTGATGATAAGTAATTTGAAATGGCAAAAAAAAATTTAAAACTGGCAAAATGGTTGGCAATTTTTAAAAATTTTCCAGAATGACCCTTGATTAAGATATAAATTCAACTATTTAAAACTGGGTATATTTAAAGTTACATTTTAAGTTGATTAAGTTGTATTTATGTAAAAATGATTTTTAACTATATTCGGTTACTATCCAGTTTTTCTTTTTGTCATTATAGTGTTGTGCTGTGTAAAGTCTAACAATCTACTATTGCTTTAAATATGTTATTAGACTATTAAACTAAGTACTTAGGTTAAAATAGCACAGTTTCTTACATTGTTTTTCTACATTATTTTCATCACATACTTTACTTTTCTGTTTTGTTTAACTAATTTTTTCTTCTATGATTCGTCTTTAAATATTAACTCCAGTTATGAAAGAGATGTCATAGTAAGAAGTTTATTTTTGCATTGTACCTTTTACTTCATATAATATATGTTGAGATTTAAATTGTAATGAAACAAAAATTTAACTGTATATGTGCTGAGGTGGCAACAAGAGTTGAAAGGATTGTGGCATAAAAGGAACAGACATGTTGTAGCTCCAGAGATGTACGAGTGTTCTGTTCATGTTTAATAAAGAGTTAGCTGTGTTTTCTGGTCATTTATAATATATGATGGCAGAGTAGTGGCTAATGTATCAGATCCTAGTGCTAGAAGGGTTTAATTTTCATCCCAAAGATTGGAAAATATGGATAGGACTTTTGAACAATTTCAAACAGCATCTGGACGCCATAATAAAACTGCTGACTAGGTAAATTCTTTAATATACTTAATGGGACAGAAAGCCAAGGATATTTTAGCATCATTTAGTCTCTCTGAAATGACTATTCCAAAGTTAAGGCAGCATTCAAAAAATACTTTGTCCCAACTAAAAATGTTATATATGAAAGATATAAATTCTATTGGTTTCAAGAAGAAGATGAAACAATGCAGAATTTCATTACCTCATTATATAATCTTGTTAAAATGTGCAATTTTCCTGCTTTGTTTCAAGATGAACTGATTAGGAACAGAATAGTTTGCAGCATTAGAGATAAAAAGTCTTGAAACACTTGCAACTAGAAACATAACTAACTCTGGAAAAAGCAATAAACACTGCAAGACAGGCTGAAACAGTGGAAAAGTAGCAGGAAGCTTTTAAAAACAATTCTGGGAATAACATATATGCATTAGGCAAAAACTGTTTGTAGGAAGACTGTACTTTCAAAGCCAGAAGCTGCTGTAGTCATTAACCAAAAACAAAACTTCAAATTCCTATTATTGGTGTGGAAAATGTGTGAAACATGCTAAACTAAATTGCCCTGCACATAAAGCAGTGTGTAATAAATGCAAAAATGTAGGTCATTACACAAAGGTCTATAAAACTAAAGTGAGTATAAATGAAATAAAAGAACCTGATCAAAATTCATTTTTGAGACATGTTAAAGGGTCTGGTAATATAAACAATAGTGTTAAGAAACAGTCTAATCAGAGCAGTGCAAACATTTTTGTGGGAGATATGCCTTTAAACTTCAAGATCGACACAGATACATATGTCACAGTTATAGCATGCAACACATACAATAGAGTGCTATCCCATGTTAAATTACGAGAAACAAATAGATCTATACAGCCCTGGAAAAAAAACACTGGATGTTGTGGGAGTGTTTATGGAGAAGCTAAGAAATAAGAGATTCCACATCCAAGAAGGCATGTATGTTATTGATAAACTAGATTGCTCCTTGTTGAGATGTAAATCAAGCAAATGTGGCCGAGTTAACTCTTGTTAAGAGAATACATGAACTAAACTTTGCTTTCAATCCATTTAAAGAATTTCCCAATCTATTTCAAGGGATTGGGAAAGTACAAAAACCTTATCACATTAAACTTAAACTAGAAAAAAATCCTTGTTCTTTGAAAGGCACCATTGTCCTTGAGAGGTAAGCTCAAGAAAACTTTAGATGAGATGATAAATAAGAGAATAATCAAGGCAATAGATGAACCTAGAGAATGGTGCACTCCAATAGTTTTGGTTTCAAAGAAATCAGGCAAAATAAGAATTTGCATTAATCTATCTAATTTGAATGAGAACATTGAAAGATAATACTTTCCCATGGCATTGGTTGACTATACACTCAGCCAATTCCATAACGCAAAAACGTTTAGTATTATTGATGCTAGTGCAGAATACATAAAATTAATAAATTATAATCAAATTGATAAAAATCATATACTACTCTTCAATTATTCAATTATAAAACATTTTATAATTGAACAAAATTTAAAAAACTTTGTTATATTATTTCAAACTGACTTCTATAAAGGTTTTTGTAATATATGTTGATGATTTAGATAAACATTAAATGGCGATATAATATATGTTGACGATTTAAATAAACGAAATGTAATCGGGTAGGTGCCCAGGTGGCGAGACGGAAAGGGAGCGAGAGTAGCTCGAGGAAACCAGCTGAATGTAGAAGTTTTTAATTGTATTAATAAAGAGTTATTCATACCATATTATCTGGTCAGTTGAGTCATTTATAATACAGTTTTATACCAAAGTATTTTAATTTTGTTCAGAATTGATAAAACTAATTTTAAAAAACTTCTTATTTGGTGAAATTATATGTAATTATATTTAGCTAAGATGAAATCATGTAAGAACTCATGGCTAAATTACAAACATTACTGTTTAAGATATTTTTTTAGCAGAAAATTTAAATAAATAGATATTTTCAAGATCATATTGTTTATATTAATTGATTATGGGATATATCAGGAAAGACACTATCAGTTATTATAACATTAAAATAAAAAATATATATTGAAAATTTAATTAGAGAATTTATTTAGATAAATTCTTACTTGTCACCATGTAGAAAGCAAATGTAACATATTAAAAGATACGTAGATTGTGCTGCAAATAATGTGGAATCATTTTCTGTTATTGCACAATGGGATAAAATAAAATGGCATGTATCAAATGTATCTGAAAAATAAACATAAAAATATTAATCTGAATAAAAGGTTTTTCACTAAAAATATAAACATTTAAAGTTTATTCTTAATATCTACCATCTAAATAATCAATTCCCATTTCAACATCTTTAAAATAGTTTTCAAACATAGCATTATCTTCTTTGAGGAAAGTAAGTAATAAATGCTTTAATAAAATATTGCTCTTATCTCTGATATTCTTAAAGCTTTCAAAATAAAAATACAAAAATTAAATAAAATTTTAACATTAATTTATGATTTTATATTTATTTAAATTTTGTCTAAAATAATAAATACATACACAGATAACCCTCATATAACACAGTAGTTACACTCCAATAAAATCTCATATATACATTTTCATAAGCATCAGAAACTTAATTTTTATTAACAATAGTAATAACTGAACAAAGATCTAAATATATAAACTGTGATACATACAGGCAGTCCTGACTTTTGAATTTAATGCATTCCTACAACTATGTACTAAAATTGAATGATAGAGCTGTACTTGATAAAAAAGAGTTCTGTTCCCAGAGAACTAAAAAGAAAAATTATATCTCTTAAGATAGAAAAGTTTTTGTTCTTATAGCAAAAATGTGCCACAATACATAAGTTATTATTTAAAATATGAAAACCACAGTTTATACAAACAATAAAAATTTTCAAAAATGAGTTTGATGTTACTGTTAACTAAAACTGGCAGAAAGTACCATTATATAGTTCAAAATTTTTGTCTGTTAGCTGAAAGTATACAAAAATGCAAATTTGGCATATGAAAAGTGGTTTTGAAGTATTGAAACATTATGCATGAGAGTGAGATTCAGAAAGTCAAAGAAAATTAGCAGAAAATTAAATAAGGCATGTACACACACACTTATTTAGAAGACTGTATTGTCTGCTTTCTTTAATAACAATAATTAGTAATTTGACTTTAGTAATTACTTATTTTGCTTAACCCTAAAGTGGGCACACTTAGTATATGAATCACTCCAGTGATATTTTAATGTTTACTGTAGATACATGTGAGTTCAAATTATTTTGTGTACTTTATTATGCAAAGCACACCATTTGTGTAGTTTTTCCAAGAAAAGTATGAAATAAAGGAATGCTGAAATTGGATGGGGTGACTGCCACTATATAACTTATGTACACTTATTTTCAATCAGATCCTTAAGTAGGCAAGGGCCTCCCATGGCTAAGCATGCCTATGCATTAATGCAACTCTAAGTGTTGATGGCTGTACTTCCTTGAGCAATAAAGCTCTGGTTTCAAGACTGTCACAACTGAAAAATGTTTCCATGCCTCCCACCTCAACAGATTCAGAATCAATTTTCTTCAAAATCCAATGTAACAATATTTTAATGTAACGAGTGTTAAGATTATACATAATATAATGTCAAGATTCAGAAAAAAATATTAAAAAGATGTAAAATTATATCCAACAAAATAACAGAGAATCCCACATTAAAGCTCAAAAATACTGTATTAGGCCAAAATTTCTGCAATTCTCTAGCCTCATCGGAGAAAATTTTATAGAAGTACACTATATTAAATATGGGTTGCCTTTATTTTATTTTATAGAATATAACAAATATACATTTAATATTAAAAAAATAAAGTAATAATTAATCAGATTCTAAATCTATGTTTCCATAAAAACAACAGTTTGAATTTTATTTTGTTTCAAATCAGAAAAATAATTCCAGTCAGTTTTAAATTTCATATACTTACTTAAGAAAATTCATTGAAAGAGCTCTACAATGCCAAATAAAACTCATAAATTGTTTCTCTAAAAGGTTTTTATTAAATATAATTAAAACGTTTTCTTGTGTAACAGATTTGACATTATATATAGTAATAATAGTTTGAAATAACTGCAAAATAATTTGTTCATTTAATTCATTTCTCTGTACCTGAAATTATAAATAATTATATTATTAATTTCAATTTAAAAAATTATTTGATTATTTTTTGAACACTCTTGTCATAAAATCTCTCAAATGTATGATTTTATATAAAATACTTAGTTTTCCTGAAGCAAAATACAAAAATCAGATCTTTTGAGTTTTGCTTCCTTAGTTCCCAGAAGATAAGATGTAAACCCAAAGTCTTTTAGTGCATCTGATTTTTATAGTACTGTAATTTGCCCTAGAAAATAAGCATTATGTACCAAAATTAATTTTTTGAAAGAGATAAAAGGAAAATTATAAAAATTGCAATAATTCACATTTGACTTGAATATTATCTGGAAATGTTGGAATTATTTGTGATATTGAAGATGTTATTATAATGTATAACATTAATCTTAAAAAAAAAACTGATTAATACACCAACATCTTTATATTTTAACGTATATACAGTCGCCCCCCTATAATACTATTAATAATTCTGTTTTATATGAATTCCATGTTGTATGAGTCACTTAGATTTTACAAATATGTGATCCATTTGTATTAAAATAACATATATCATTACATTATATAACTAAAGTCATATAGATAGATGTGTAAAGGTATAATGTGTTAGAATATTTAGATACCATTTACAGCATTGTGGTGTTCATTACAAATGAGTTAACACATTTTTATTGTACTATGTCTTATGGGAAACTGTCCCAAACTTCCTCTTGTTCTTCTTATATATATATGTCGGTAATTGGTAATTGCCTTATGTCGGTAATTGGTCCCAGGAGAGGAGACTTAAGTCGAAAAACAACGTAAGTTGAATTTACTTGTCACTAGGCTAAACCTCATAACTGTTCCCAGTTCTGTATTTTATTTATAAATGCATTTTTAATAATATATGGTTAATAAGAATCTATTTTAAGCTTACAAACAAATAAATTTTAGTTTTTAATGTAGTATAGAAAAAAAGTAATCTAAATTTACGAATTCATGTAGTATGTACAGTACATACTTGTAAATGTACATGTTTACAATTTGGTGATGTTTACAGTACATCGCAAACTCTTTATTTGTGAATATGGTTTGCTCTAAGACATTATAAAATAAGATGATTTTGTAAGGTTAAATAACAAATACAGTTATTAAAATTATCATACGACAGTAGAAAATAAACTAATTTATATTAAATTTACCAATATTGAGTGGTGCTGACAATGACACCAAATGGTAGATATTGGAGCTACCGTGGAAAACAGCAATTTTGAGCACTTAAAGACCACTAAATAAGATGACAACATAGAAACACAGATGTTTTCATGTTTCGTTCTCTAGGATTTATGATGATTATATTAACATTTACTGTAAATTTACATATTTTAATATGATTTTAGTGAAGATCTTATTGAAAAATGTCCCTTCCCAACTCCGCCTCGTTGAGTTGGTTTCTTGTGTTTCACGACTCGATGTGGTGAATCAGGTTCGTCGGAAAGCACACCTCCACACTCAAATTGAATATATATATAGTTTATTTACAGTTGTACAAGTTATAAACGTAGCATATGTACAGGAAGATCATGCGTGGTGAATTCACGTGCCAGATTGGCGTCTGGAAACTAATACTCTTGGGAGAGACCTCAGTCAGCTTTCGGAGTCGGCTCAACTGCACGGTCGGTCCGGTCTCAGCACTAACCCGTCCCTGAGAAGATTAACAGAGGAGAATACTCTCTCTTTACGCTCAGCGGGCTTCCCAAGTGCCTGAGACTACCGTGTACCAGTCTCTTGCCCTTCTCTGCTTTCCTCTCGTTCGGCCCGCAATTTAAGGGTTTTTGGACGGGGACTTCCGACCAATCACAATCCCCTTTCTTTGCCCGAACAGCTTACACTCGGGTCCGCCGTCATCCGACGAGAGTGAAGCTCACACAAACGTCCGCCACTTGTTTACGTTCGTTCGTTTACAATATGGCAATTGTACTACCGTCTCACTGCAGGTGGGTACAATTAACAAAGCCGTACCCCCTTTGTCCCCGCTGTGCTAAAAGGTTACTACTTTACAATTTTATATACTTTAATGCTTTTCTAGTGATATTACAACTTTTTGTGGCGGATGGATGTAAAGTCGAATAAAATTACTTAAACTTAAATTTTATTTTTTCATATATTTTTTGACAAACGACGTATAATCGAGAACAGCATAACTCAAAACAACGTAACTCAAGGTATACCTGTATTATATATATATAATGTAATTTATCTATTAATAAAGTTTTATTATAAGTAACATTCAAAGTTTCAAAATAAAATAATTTCAAATTACTTCTACTTTCATAAATACAATAGTTGTTCAATATTTTTCAAAAGATTTTAATATATATGTAATTTAAAAACAAAATTATAAAATTAAATATATAACTTGAATTTTACTCTTAAACTGGATGTAAATATTAATTTTCCATGCCTATGTTTTTACATTAATTCATTACAAAAGTAATAGATAATATCATTATCAAGAAATAAATTGAATGATGTAGCAACATCTTTTATATTTATGTCATTCTTTTTTTATCTAACTTGTAAGTAGAAAAAATATTGCTAATTGGTTGAGATGAGTTTCTGTTAGAACAGCCAACAAAAGATCACAACTTACAACAATCTGCTTGCTTCATATTGTGGTTGACATTGATAAATTTAGTTTTAAAAAGGTACTAATGATAAGAGTCATTAAGAGATAAACTGGCAGATGTGAATGACCAGAAAATTAAACAGTGGAAAATAAAGCATAAATAAATAGCAGAAAATATGACAGAAAATAAAAAAGACCAAATGCCACATAAACTAATTTACTGAAATGGATCCCACAAAAAACAAGATTAGTTGAGATTGGTTCATGGAATTTCCAAGCATTGTTAATGATCGATAAAATCAAACTGAAAAATATAAACTGAAAAAATATATATAAATCAACATTCTAATGTTTAATTGTAGAGAATTTTATCCTTGCTCTCTTCTTATATTCATTATTATATCCTTTACTTTAAATGTCACAAACTACATTGTAATGAAAGTTGAATAAAATTATTTTAAACAAACTGAAAATGATGATTATTAAGACCCTAATTCCTCTTTCATTAAATATGTTTTCTCATATTAATTTTTACCTGTATTCTAGACAAAAAGTTACTATTTTAAATAATGGATTTATTATTATGATCATAAATATTAATTTAATCACATCTGATATTTATCTGCATTTTTGTCACCTTAACTTCTGAATTTCTTTCTAATATATTATTATTATCTCAAAATCTATCAAAACAAGATGAAGATTTAACAAAGCATTATTTTATTTAGGTTCTTTCCAAAATTATAGCACATTATAAAAGCAATATTAAACTTGCAAAAATTATTACATAGCATATACAAGATACCTAACATTACATGATTAAACTACACCACAAAACACTGGGATATGTTAAATACTGCACTCTTAAAACCTATAACCGGTGTGATATAAAAAACAAAAGATAAAGATCACCACAAATGTTTTCGAACTGCTGTGAGTTCTTCTTCAGGTGTGAAACAGAATTACTGATGGGACAGAGCGAACCGTTAAGGAAATTTGAGAAGTATTAGAAGGTGTTAAATGAGATGCATGTGTGTTTGTCTGGTTGACTTATCATCACCTTAAAGTTCAGAGTCCATCAACGTCTGCCAGGCTGGTGACAGAACCAACTCATCCTTAAAACTGATGCATAAAGGTTCTCTCTGTCCTATCAGTAATTCTGTTTCACACCTGAAGAAAAACTCACAGCAGTTCAAAAACGTTTGTGGTGATCTTTATCTTTTGTTTTTTATATTGTACTGGTTATAGGTTCTAAGAGTACAGTATTACATGATTAATTGGTTTCAAGAAAAAAAAAATGTCACAAAGTAGTTAACTTTTATATGTCTTTTTATTTACTTATTATATGATTTACATAACATTAAAAAAATAAGAGATGCATTCCCAAAATGAAAAATAATTATCTAAAATTAAAAAAATATATATTTTGTTTTTTGTAATTATTACATTTACAATTCATAATTTAATTAAATTATGAATCAACTAATACAATAATTGAATCTGGATCATTCTTTCCTTCTTTGAATGATCTGGGTATACTCCTCATATATGCAGTAACAAGTTCTGTAATTTTGTGTGGCTAACTTGTGGTGGCATATACCCAGTACATGTTAGAACTGGCTTGTACAAGCTGATTATTACAATTTTAAAAATTCAGCAAGCTGGTTGTTAAAATTCTTGATGAATGGATTGATGATTAAGAATAAATAGTTTAAGAATAAAGTTTTATATATTAAAAGCCATGACTTCTATTAATGTTTTTGAAAACAATAAAAATATGATCTCTATTTTCTGAATTGGAACTTTATGAAACAACCACATATTTAATTTAATATTTTTCTCTCTCTTTATGAAACTAAATTTAGGAAAATTTTTCTTAATCTCTTCCTCTTAAATGGAGAAAAATATTTAAAAATAAATACCAGTGTGAGTTTACTGACTGTTGATTGATTGAACTACTTGATTTATTAGATGAATCCATTTCACCCTATGAGGAATTAACTTCACCTTGCATGGAAGGTGAAAGAAAATTAGATTAATTAAATGAAGTTTTAAAATTCATTATAAATGATTTCAGAATACAGAGGAAAAAATTACATCAGTTCTTGAAACAATAGAAAAAGTAAAAAAAAATAATTAATGTCATAGTAATTAGTAGTATAGAAGCTAAAAGAGGTTTCAATTTAATGAATGTAATATGTGAAAAAATAAGAAACACTTTAGCCATTGAACATACAGGATGATTATCATTAAAAGTTCTGATTTCACAATGATCTGAAATAAGAACCAAAGGTCAGAACAACAACATAACTACTAGACCCAAACTGGGCTGCCATCTTTGAAGCAAATTGAATATGCATCCGCTATGACACTTTAAGGAAGAAAGCTGCACACTTGTAGGAAATACCTAATACAGATATGACTGTTCATCATATAAATACACAATTTTCATGAATATAATTTGCAGAACTAATAAATAATAAATAAAACAGTTAAAATTCTCTGAAAAATATTAAACTAATCTTTAATAGTGTGAGGGCCCGGATTTAAGATTCGAATATTTTTATTCATTAGATTAAAAGTTAGGGTTAACACAAAAAGGGAAAAACAACCGACAAATTTTCTCATAAAAATCGCTCATAAAAACTCCGTTCCCACGACAATACTTCCCTGTAGAAGATGAGTTAACTGTTGTGTCATAAGTTTGTCACTTCGCCCATCATTGGTCAAAGAAGATCATCACCTGTGACGTACATGGGGAAATCTCGAAAAAAGAGCCCCCATATAAAAGGCAAGTGCGATGACGACACAAGGGGGAAATTAAGTTCTTTTCTCTATACTGTGAGTGTGTGCCCGTGGATTTACCTGCATCTCGTCTCCACCGTCTTTAATAGACTTTGAACTTCGACTTCGAACTTTGGACTGATTTGAACTTTGAACTTGGAAGGACGAACCTCGGATCAACGTTATAACAACCTAATCAGAGGTATTTATCCTACACGCGATGATGTGTAAGCTCTCTCTCGAATATTCGAACCTCGCGGGTAGGGTCGCGACTATTTTATACTTTGCCGTTACTTTATGAACTATACGGATTGAACCCGAGAGGGATTTGTATTCCAATTATTAACTATGTATAAATGTACGGAATAAACGGGTATTTTGTTAACGAACTTGGATTGGTGTGCGTTTCTTCCGACATTTTCCACTCCATACTGAACCCGAAGTCCTCGACGAGATCGCTCGTGATAATTCCCCATCCATCCGCGTATCTATCCGCGA